ACAAGTACGGAGCTGCCTCCACATGCCCTGGTATGGCTGAGAGTGGGGAGAGTTCGCCCTCCCTCTCAAAATGCTTTCACATGGCTATGCGTATACAGCCACTGTCAGGGAAGTCCTACTCACTTCCTTCTCTCACCAGGGGTGTTATTTACGAAAGTGAGAGGACGAAAAGCGAATGTCCGGCGCTTTAACCAAATTGGTGGACACAGAAAGTCCACCGAGGGGAGTTGGAAAGCCCTGATTCCAAATAAATGGTGCACATGGGCTCCAGTATCCTGAGGGAATAAATGGCGTATAAATCAATCGTTGGTTACCGGCTACCATGGGACTGCATCTCCTCACGATGCTCCACTGCCTTGTGCACTAGACCTTTAGGTCAAAGGCTCGGGGTGTAGCCCCCTAAGAAAACCACCTGCTTCGGTCTGGGCACCCGGGCAGTATCACAGCCCTCACACAGATTAAATGAGATTTGTGCGGCGCATATGTATCTGGTGCTTCCTTGTACCAATGTTTATGTGTTTAAATAAATAAATAAGTAGTACGGAGCTAACACAAAAAGTACCCACAAAATGGTCGTGTGTGACCAACCTCAAGCAGATGTCCCTTGGGCACTGCGGTCACGCTCTCAGGTCACTAAGACCACTTCTAACCTAATTTCTTTTTCAGGTACCTCTAGAAGAACCCTTCCATGGTGTGGGCAACCGGGAAGTGATAACTGCCCTCATACCTCTAACAGCACTCAAGACCACTGTATTCATAACCTAACAGCAACACGTATTTTCGTTGAGATATAACGGATTACAAGAGATTCAATTTGTGACTGTCATTTTAGAGGACGAAATTAGAAAGCCCAGGTATTTTGATGATATTGAAAAACAATGCGTCTTTGTTGTTTACCGACGAAAACACTTTACAGTGACAAGATATTAAAATACTTTAAATCCCGTACTGATCTCAATAAGACAACTATTGAAAACTAGAAAGCACCAGATAGGTTTTGCGTCCTAATATGGGACTTCTAAGCAGTGAGTACCAACGACCCAATTGGAGACTGAAACAGGTGCATTCGATCACACGCGCCAGGCCCTACAGGCCGCTGAGAAGTTAATCAATTGTGTCTAGCCTCATTGCATTCGCGGAATTACGCGGCCATTTTCTATTGTCTGAGATGGATAACTGTCCCACGCCAGATTTTGTCGAACACTGGTTAGACAAAACATCTTTTGTTTAATCGCAGATGTGGTCGTGAATCCGCACTATTGAGGAGTCCTGGACTAGGAAAATCGGCTTTCTATTAATTCCTAGCTTTCAATAGTAGTTTAGCTAGGATTTGTTCGTGATGTAAATGGTTAAAATATGGCAACCTCCACAAAACTGCGACGCTAAAAGTTAGGTACTTGTTATGTTTTGTCGCACTAGACACATAATTTGCCGGATACGAACTAATATTCTCGGCTTTGAGTCACACTGTACAGGTAAGTGGAACTACTCACTTCCCTAAAACAAAATAGACAGATAGGAGTTTGTACCCACTTTAAACAGTAAGCCACTATTGCAAAGTGAAGTTTCAAGTTATTGGCATATAAGTGTGAGTGCAGAGAAATTCCTCAAGTCACTAAAATGTGCCATTTTGAAAAGACCAAAACAAATTCTTGAACCTCACGAGTGCTGGCAGAAATTGGAAACATCATTTGCTTAGAAGATTTGGTAAAGCCACAGAGACAAGTTCAAGTTACTATGCATGCAGGGCTGGCATTGAGAATATCTAGATTCACAGTGTCCCGTAATACAAAGTTATTTGTGTTTTACAGGGGATACACTGAAAATGTGAACGAAATGGGTGAAAATTATTTGTTTGGACACGGTTACTCTTGAATATATATATATATATATATATATATATATATATCACGATGTGAACAACAAACACGTATGCTATAAGATTAGTAAACCTGCCCACAATCACCGGCAAATTCTGTGGGTTTTCGTTGTCTCGTTCGAACAATTCGACCCACAATCCCGCTAGATAAGAAATGAAATTCTGGATGAAGACTTTATTGATCGTCCCTTTTCAGTTGACTGCAGAAAAAACCGATAAAATATACCCAAAACTTAATAGCACACTAGTCTTAAAAGAATAACAAAGTTGAAACTTGAGATACACTCTAAACTTATCGAAATTTTGTAAGGTAAAAAAGCTGAATTTATGTGCAGTCGACAGCCGGTTTGCAAAACAAGCAATAAAACGAAACTTTATTTAAACTATCGCGTTGGTCTGTAAGAAATTATACTCTCTTTAGATGAAGCTCAATGGAAGAGTAAGAGACTTTTGAAAAATTCATATTAACTACCGATATTCATAACATAATCTAGGGCTATATACAAACTCTGATGCTTCAAAAATAGTCTGAACAGAAACAAACGCACTCATTTGAAGATCCGCACATGGGATTCAACACCCAATCACTGTACCTAAGTTGTCCATATAATAATTTTGATGAGCTGTGTTAATCCACAAGTATTATGTTTCATTGTTCTTCTTATCTCAACTGTTCGTTAGGAAAGATGATCACCAGTTATCCAACTTCGGTTTTTCAGTTGCCATCCACAAGATGTAGGAGAAAAATCCGACTTAAATTTATTCTCTAACTTGTTTTGGAGATTTCACTCTTGCGAGTCGCATCACATCTCAGATCTGAAAGCGAAATTGCCTTTACATTCTCTTACTTAGCAAAGCGACCGAACATGTGTCACAATATTTCATGAGCAGACAGAGGACCTCAAAGATTTTTTCATGAAAAAGTAAATCATAAAATCCATTCACCTGTCATAACAGCATGCCGCTAACCTAAGGTCAAGCAGAGCTAGGCGAAAGAGCTTGTTCTTATCTAAATTTTCGTACGTGTACTCTGTTTGGAGGTAGTAACGTATATAGTTTATTAAATTCATGGCTTCAGCCAGCTATCAGCTACAATGTAGGACCAGGCACATATACGCATCGGTTAAAGTTACCATTATTGAGTTACCTGTATGATATCTTTGCTCTGAATTTCTTACGTAAATTTGCGTTACAGGGCATAGATAATGTCTACTTGTAGTCTGGGAAAGACGTAAAAGGTTGTTTATAATAAATCTTAGATATTTTGAAGGTGGTATAAAAAGTTATAAACGTACATCAAAGTTTTGCAGACTTACATGAGATCTCCTCATCTCAAAGGCTGTGAATGAATGTGTATCTTATGTGTCAATGGGGATTTACACCCAAATATCACGAATAACTTGCTCACAAAAGTTCACTGTATCATCTATTTAGTCCAATTCTCTAACAACCTGGTGGTGACTAATGTTTTTTCTTAATTTCCGACTGCTGAGAAGTACATAGCATATTCGAGGGTCCTATATACCAATTAAATAGATGCATTTGACAAAAAAGAGTTTATAGTTGCAAATAAATCCTCAAATTAATCCGTATGTCTTCCATGTTGATTTTAGGTTTACCGGACGCACCTTAGCCGAAGGCGCTCGGTGACGCATATGCACCAGATCACGAGTGAGTACTCGGTGATAAGCCTTCACTTCAACTGCCAGCCAGCTTAGAAGAAATGCCTCTCGATATATCGACAGCCTTCCAAACATAGCTTGGGGCCTCTACATCTCTGACTTCTGATTTGGCTGGTATCTTTAGGTTCGGTTTCCATCAGAATCTTTGTTCCGATCATTTGGAGTTGTGTAAATATGTCTTCTACGAACACGTCAGTGTAGCAGGTTCTCAAATATAATGAAATTTAGCCCCTGGAATGTTATTTGGATCATATCCTCATTTGATCTATCGGAAGTTCGGGAGCCATAGACTGAAAACACATTTTTGCCATATATGGCAACTGTTGCTCACTTTGATAGTATCTTGAAGTACTGAACAGATCTGATAAAAAGTAACAGTTTGTAAGAAGACGAATACACTATCCTTAATTAAGCGCAGTGTGCATTTTTCACAGTAAGAACAGCAAGGCGAAAGTAAAATTTTGGAAACCTGTAGCTCGACATTTCTCCTCAAATAAAGAGGCATCCTAACAATGTGCGACTCAAACGTAAGATGTCTTATTTTGTATCTGTTTGTGAGTGCATGGGTGTGAGTGGGAAAGCTTCAACTCTATGCAGGCGATAGGAATTGAAACATTCACCAGAACTTCTAACATCGAGGTCTTTTCAGTCAAAGAAAAACACCAGACGACACGAAATGACGTTACGGAACTCTGTCGAACTCTGACACCTCATCTTAGTTTCTACATGGGCGTAGAGACTCCCAAAATCTTCACGGTACTTCACGAAAACCTATCTCTAGATCACGAGAGAAATCTTCCTGAAGTTGTTCCTGAGAACGTCTGAGATTCAGACAGAATTCTAACGGACCGACCGCATGAAACAGTTTTCAACTTACACGCAGCAAACGGAAAACCGAGTGCCACATACGATAAGCTATTTGACTACCCTTACATGGGTTTACACATTTTCACTCATTGGATTTTAGTTATCACAGATGATTCTATGCCAATCAGTGGTACGGACCTTCTACAATGCCATAATCTACATATTGACTAGCGCAAATGGAGATTGGTAAATGGAAATACTGAACTATATACTTGTGTAACTTCTTTTTCTGGTAGTAAATTGTGCCCAGTCAGTGTCAGGTACATAATTGATCCATACTAACAGCAGATGCTCGACAAGTACCCTGAATTATACCCAGCACAACCAAAACTATCGTACATAACTAGTAACGTTGCACACCGTATCAAGACAACAAGACCACTAGTATTCTTGAGAGCTCGTCGATTGGCTTCCGAATAGCTGAGGTTGGCTAAAATCGAATTCAATCACATAGCAAACTTAGAAACCATTAGAACATCTGACAGACTACAGGCTATTGCAATATATACTTAAAAACTTTAATGTTCTGCATCCACACTGATTCCATCGGCTAATACTTTTAGTGATAAAATCGCAATTAGTAACTAATGGAGATAGAAATGTTAAACCGTTTTGAGTTTTTAAAAATTGTTTTATCCTGAAATGTTTTTTCGTTATGATGCAGCGAACACTAAAAGACACATTGAGGGTGGAACTTAAATAATGTATTTGTTTTCGTGAAGTCAGAGAAATTTTGGTCATGAACAGTAAGCTTATATCTAATCACTGAATTTTCCGTGTTCAAGAAGACTATGATTGTGAAGATTTGAACTCTAGTCCGGAAATACGAAGAGGTTTATGTGAGTACTGGTTTTTATAACCGCTTTTAGGTAAATATGACAATAATGATTCTCTAATACGAGATGTATATCAGTTTTCCCGTATGTGAAAAAAATTTGACTGATTCTTCTCACTAAGTTTCTCCAGACATCAAGAACTCTACACTTAATGCCGGTGATGGTGTTAATATCACTGACGTTTCCCAATTGAAGTTTAGTCCTATATGTGAGTTTGAGAAAGATTTTCAAATGCTCAGATTCGCCGTCTTATAATAGTTCACTGGTTGACAATAGTGGTTTTGATCTAGTGGACTCTAGTGATGCTTCCTTTGGTCATCGCTCAAGTTTACTTGGTAATTCTGATGAAACGACGTATCAAAATATTTTGAAATTGAAAGGAATACCAGAGATTTCCATAAGCCACATTCCTGAAAGGTATGCATTCATTCATCATATTTCTTATGTTTTTGATGAAATATGAGTTCACTTCCTATTTATTTTTTTGATTTTTACAAATAACTTACAGGATCTTACAACGAAATGGTTCTAAAATAGATGTTTTACCTAGGTACTTTATCGTTTCTCTAGTTTAAAAGCTTTTGTCGAGTACAATAGCAACTATTACAGGTATAGTAGTAGTTGTTTGCACTCATACATCAAAGCATATTTTTTGTTAACTGATAACGTACACATTTGTTAATTACGATATTGTGACCCCGTACAAAGTTCCAGTTTCAGTTTGAAATGGTTGTAGACATCTAGTTATCTAGTCGATCCAATATCCTTTTGAAGGCGTAGAGAGATGAGGCGTCAATTAAGTGTTGAGGTAATGATTTCCATTCGTCTATGATTCTATGTGAAAGTCGTTAGTTAGCTGAAAAGTAATTTGTTCTGGGTGTATGGACGTTTTTTTGTAAAATCTCTGTTTTGAAAGACAAAAAAAGTGAGGGCATATTAGATACAAATTTATCACTAATTAATTTGAAATCTGTGATCGACTCGCCTCTAGTTCTTTGATATAGCAATGAAAACATGTTTAGTTTTGACATTCGATCGTCAAATGTGAGCTTTGCTATTCCAGGAATCAGCTTAGTTGCGGTTCTGTGAACTTGTTCCAACAGCTTACTGTCCGGCTTTAGGAAGCTGTAACGAAAAGATCCTTATTTTAGCCATACATTTTGTAAATATGTTTGGGTATTCACTAACGTTAGTTTGATGGTATAAAGAGCCTTAAAAGTAATCAGATGTTAGCTAAAATGATGCATAAGGTTGAAACATAGTTGAAATTTCTCGTCAAAATCATATGGAGATCATAGCTTATTATTAATCAAATGACATTTTTCTTCGATCATTTTACATGCCTTTGCTGTTGCTTGATGTTTTGGTGATGAAGATAATAAACCGGATAGGAATCTGAGTGTTTGTCAAAATTTTTCACTTATTGATGTACTTAAACCCGTATAAAAAACAAAATACTCGGCGAAAGTATGCGTTAAAGTTAATTTTCGAAAAGAAGAAAACCAAGAGACTAGCTGACCACATTTTATTCTCATTAACATAGAATACCGCAACTGAAGTTTCCCTTTTATAGCTACAATAATGACAATCTTTAGTGCCTGATGACATCAGTTGTTAAGAATTTTTATTTCCCAGGAGTTTTTAGAAATGACTGTGTTGCATTACTTCGTTTTCCTTGAATACTCAATATCCTGTTACTACTACAGACACTCTAAAAGAAATAAATTCATATCGAGGTGTTTATTAAGCTTGTAATTTTTGGAATATTTCAGATCAATTTCGAACTTATAAACCTTTATCCGCCTGAAAAAAGTGATAGAGTAAAGATATTGTAGATGCAATTCGATATCATATCTACCTATTCAACTTTATTCGAAATCAATTATCAAGCAAATCAATCGTCAAAGACTTTGCTATTTTACGCTTTGTCAACTCAGTTTTTCACTGGAACATATTTTTTTAACACACCAAATTTGAATGCGATAAAAAATTTTATTGAAGTAAATACATATCTAGCTAGTGTGTTTCTACCGTAACCTAATTATCCTTAAAAGGGCCACCACCAAATTATTTCTACATATTCTTATATGATGCTTCACAAATCTGTCAAAGAAAATGAATCTTAATTTGTCCTGTACCCCTTACTGTCTTATCTTGAATCAATGATAGTGATATTTATCGATGATTCCTATGCAGTTGCGGAGATAATTTAGCTATGAGATATGATAATCTATAATGTGCTTATTTTTTGGTATATTGAAGTAATGAGTAGCTGTTACACCATAAGTAATACCCGAATTACGGTGGGTTTGGGCAAGTTCACTGCATCATAGAAAACCGAAAACTACGGACTCTTATGGCTAGAACTACAATTAATTAGTTTCTAGAAGGAACTTGAAACTTTTCTTTATGGAATTTCAGTAGTTCATGAAGCTAAGTTCATTGCACATGAACCATTAACTATGGGATCGGTTTTCCTTTATTTAAAAGTACCATAAAATTCCCGATTTTATGGAAACTGGATATCTCGTCATATCACAGTTTATCCATCTTCCTGAATTCTTTGTACATTTTAAAACATGCCACAAGCTATGGTAGCACAAATGCATTTGTTAGATATGAATTGTCACGAGAATAAGGCATCGACAGAAAGAGTTGAATATTTCAATGTGTAGAAAAACTGTGATGCTTGCAAAATGAAAAAGCTGCATGATTGTTCAGGAAACATTTAATTTTTAGCTCGTTCTGATGACAAAAGCTGTCAACATTAAATTATCATTATTTTTAACGTTTGATTCAAATTCCATTTTGAGTTTTTAAAGAAAAATATTACAATTTTAACCAAACAGTCATCGAAGAACAAATCTTACTCCTTCTAGAGCCCTCCCAAAGTTAATGCCAGTCACCAGCTCATACGATGGTTAAAGGATGGACATAGGATTAGCAACCACATCTTGCAGAGAAAATCCTTGTCAGAAAACGTTAACCAAAATATTAGTTTAAAACATTTATTCTTTACCTTAAAAGCTGAAGGATTATAATGTCTAATTCTGAAAGCCGAGATTTTTCGGGAGCCACGATATCGATGGTCCTTGTAATAACCAGAACAACAAGTAATTTAGGTTTATGGGATTTTCGAACAATGTGAAAGACCAGTAAGAGCACATCAGTAGTTGCATAAATGAGAAGATAAAATCTGAAGGTGCTCGGAATATAAGAAACCTATTGGAAGCAAACTGGGCAGAAAAGGTTAACTTCGAGACAGGTGCTATTGCATGCTAGTCATGAAGAAGGAAAAGCTTTGCACACAAAAATCTGTACTAATGTTGTCCATAAAAGCACTAAAAGCACTTATAGGATGGGAATTTCTTGGATTAAGAGTCGTCAGGGCGTTCTTTGAGAAAAAGGAATAGATTATATTGGATTTCATCCACTGTTATGCCTCTACCAACGAAGGAGAGGAAGACGATTAGAACCGGTTTTGTCAAAGGCTGCAGTTGATCTCAGAGAAATGGCCAGGGCAGGACATTACTATCCTGATGGGGGACCTAAACAGCAAGGTCTGAATGGACACTAACCCATTCACAAAGCTACATGGGTTTCACAGGGTACCTCTAAAGAGAGCCAGATTGATCACATATACGTCAACAAGATATCTCAAAGGTCCTTAGATAACATAAAAATAAAGAGAGGAGCCAATATGGGTTTAGATCTTCATATGATTGTGGCCTATATGAAACTAAGTCTAAAGAAGCACTAGACAACTGCAGAAAGGTTGCTAACAAGCTCAGCGGATTCAAGATAGCTCTCAGTACTAAGTTCCAAGACTTACAAAGTCCTATATAAAGAGGAGGAGAACAACTATGGAGAAAAACGAGAAGCGAATAAAAGAAATAATTATGTCACCACACCAGAAGGCGTTAGACCTTAAGAAGCACCAGCATAAAGAGTAGATTCCTATCGATATCCTGGGTAAAATACAAGAAAGGAAGAATAAGAAGACATCAACTAGTAACAGTCGAACAAATGCAGGAAAGAGCAAGATACAGGCTGCACACACAGAAGCAAACGAGAGAATAAAAAGAAGCATTAGAGCCGATGAGCGAAGGCCAACAAACGACAGCGGAAAAATCTGCAAGAGGGTAAAGTATATAAAAGCTATATGATACGACGAAAATGTTTGGGGAAATTCAAACACTTCACTTCTACCCTAAGTTTGTGCTGATGATGTCGTTCAGAGGGACGATGAAAGCTCCATGACCAAATCATACAGCTCAGAGAACAAACCCACATAAAAAACAACGAAAAAGCTTGCAGGAAAATATAGTAGACTAGAGCGACCAGTTGAGAAAAAAAGCTGCAACCTAATCACCGAGATTAAGCTGCAGCGTAACAGGTGGGTAGTATACTTTGAAGAACTCTTGAATAGACCAGCCTCGCTGAATTCATCAGACATCAAAGCAGCACACATGAAGCGACCTATAGATATCACTGAACTAGAAATCAAAAGGTAACCATGACCACCAGATAAACAAAGATTGAAAAATCAGAATAAACAGTCTACATACCAGCCAAATTATTGAACTGACGCATAGAAGTTACTGTAAAAATGCCCCATATTTCCTTCAGAAAGATTTGAGAGGAAAACCAAGTAAAAACAGACCGGAATCAGGTCTACCTTATCAGGATACATAAGAGAGATCTTAGTAGGTGTGATAACTACAAAGGTACCACACTACAATCAAAGTAGTTTTCAAGAGAGTGTTTTCGAATCTAATTAAAGATTTGGTGGACGGTCAACTTCGAGATCAAAGGTCTGGATTTAGTAAAGATCGATCATGTAACGACCAAATCGCAGCGCTATGGATAATCGTTGAACAGGCAATCTAATGGAAATTATCATTATACATCAGTTTCTTTGAATATGAGAAAGCGCTTAACAGCGTGGATATGAGAAACTCAAGGAAACTTCTTCCACACTACCATATATCTGAGATTGTCAGCACCATACGGAATTCATACGACAGACCATACTAAAAATTCATGTATGGAGGGCGACCCACAGATGCTTTTCAAGTAAAGAATAGCGTCAGACCAGTCTTTTCACTCTACTCATTTCTCTTTCTTCTGATGATTGACTGGATTGCGAAGACTTCCACATCTCAGGGGAAGCACAGAATATAATGGATGTCTTATATTCAACTGGGCTATTTGAATTCCAAAGATGAACTAACTCTTCTATTCCATACATAGCAACAAATGCAGGCGAAGATAGTTAGTGTGGTAGCAGCCCCACATATATAAAGGGAAAAGCGAGATCTTGAAACGCAACACAGAGCACCAATGCAATGACGATTGATAGAGAAGCTCTGGAAAAAGTGCACATTTTTATGTACCTGGGCAGCGTCGTTGATAAACAAGCGGGATCTGGTGCAGATGTAAAGACAAGGATCGACATATCAAGGGCAGCATCCCTACAACTTGAGAACATATGGGACTCAAAATAACTGTCAGCCAATATCAACGTCAGGATCTTCAATGCAAAAGTCAGGACAGACCTACTGTATGGAGCGGAAACTTTAAGAACTACCTTAACCATCATCAAAAAGTATAGCTATTTACAAACATCTGTTTGCACAAGATACTCCAAAACTGTTGGGCAAACACCATCAGCAATGACCAGTGGCAGAGAAAAAACTAGCTTCCTAATGAAGAGGAAATAAAAAAACTCTGGAGGTGGATAGCATATTCTTAGTGGAAATCACTAAGCTGCACCCAAGGCAAACCCTATTCTGGGACCCACCAAGCAATAGGAAAAGTGGCAGGTCAAAGAACACATTACGCCGGTACTTTGGGGCGGACACATAAGGAACCAATAGTACTTAAGAACTACTAGAAAGCAAGGTCCAGAACAGATTTGGCTGGAGAATCATGGTCGGCAGTGTATATAACACGACGTGTAACAAACATAAGTAGGTAGCCAAAAGGGTAAATCTGTAATCATGGGGATTTCCCTCTAAATATGAGAATGGCTTTAAAAGCCGAAATTCGAGGCAAATAAAATAAAGAAAACTGCCACTGTGTAGAACAATTCGATTTCAAAATATTCATCCTAGGTAAACACTACTCGTGCTCTAAAGAATTTCGGAGATTAATTTAAACTACTGGAAACATCTAAGACTTGCAGATGTAAAAGTGAAATTTATATAACATGACACCAGTTGATATTATTCCAAGTTTCAACTGACTACGTAGTTACTAAATGGAGTATTTTGTCTACTCTGCCTACACTTACCCGTCGGTTATCACAGGAACACATTGTCCTGGGTTACTCTATGAAGTTAATTGCTGTTGGGCTTGACCGTGTTAGAAATTTCAAACATCTTGGTGTTAATTCACAAAATAACTGGTGTTTATATTTCAAGATCTTGGCTAACGTGTGTCAAATAAATGGAATTAGGTGGACTAGTAATATCTTATTGGCTTGATCCTAGCTTTAGTTTTTTAATCATCAATATCATTCTAATTGTACTTCCTATACTCAGGTTTCGACTACTACTGTAATTTTTCCGAATATTTTTCTCATAATTTTGACTATATACAATAGGTTAAATTGATACTTATTTGTGTTAAGTTTCCCTCTGTTTATGGTTGAATTTAATCTTTGAATTAAAATAAATAGGACCTTTCATAAGAATCTTGTTTTCAAAGTTATTGTTAACAAATTATTTTTTTGGTTGTGTATCTGTAGAAACCAAATGCTTTTCGATACGGCCACGAATGATATTCAAGAAAAAAACTATGTGAACTGTAATTTTGACAATGCAATTATATACAAAGTTTATATTATAATTAAGCAATTTTTTGTTTGAAAGCTATATGAATGTATGTTGTGTACCAAATGGGCTTCACATATAAAATATTTTCAATCAAGATATTTATGTTCATCGTTTTTCCATGAAAGTAACATTCGCCTACACAATAATCGGGTTTAACAGTATTCGTTTGTTAAAAATAAGTGCGACTACAAACAGTCTTAAACTAGTCTGTTGGGATTACGGATCTTTTTGTTTGCAGCTTCACCTAATACTTACTCGAGATTTGGATATGATAGATAAAATATCAGTTCTGATATATCGAATTGTACACATGAAATGACTAACTTCAGTGACCGATATTTCACGTACACAAATATTTAGATGGTGACGTTTATTCTCTTTCATTAGCAACTAAAACTCAATCAATATAAGATGGTCCAAGAATTAATTTAGTGTTGTCAGTCAACTAATCTGTTAGCCCCGTTTGTGAATCAGGATTAGCTTCTTAAATTTGAAGAAAAACCGAACAGTCAGCAAGTTGAACTAGAATTAAAATACTTTGAAATCTTCCAAAACTAAATTTACTTTTATTCGTGAATCCTAAACTGTGATAGGTTTATTCTCGAGCAAATTCAAGAGAGACTCTTTGTATTTCAGTTAAATTCCACAAGTTGGCTGAAAAATAGACTGGTTTAGAATCAAAACGCGATCAAACAAAATTTTAAAATAAAGTCCCTAAAATAATTTCAAATTACCTCATTTCCAACCGAATTTACAGGTATTTTAAATAACTTCGTGTGGCGCATACTTTACGTGGATGATTCCAAGTCTTACATATTTTATGAAATTGGCCTTAAAACATCTTCATAGTTCACAAAAAGATGTTTTACTACTTATTCCATAAATATTATACTTTGTGTTTTAAAGTAGAGATGGCATTTGACGACTATTTCCTAAGACCTGAAAAAACTACATATCACTATATGTTCGTTTGATATACAGTCAATATAGGGGTGAGAAGTAATTTCACACTATTATCGGTCAATCAGATGAGTTTATTGTAATTCATACACTTAAGGATTCTCCTTTCTGAAGTTTAGAAATAATGTATTAGTCTCTGTTGGGCGAACGGCTTTTATTACTGACGCTTCGCGTACAGTTTTCTGAAAGCATTTTAGTTTTAAAATAATATTAGGAATACTTCTTAATCGACTTTCACTAATTAATGACACAAAAAAGTAACATTTATTTACGGAAGATTATATTGCGTTATTTATTTTAGAGAGTAGTCAAGAGAGAGGAAAATAGAAAACGAGTGAGGTCATGATTATGCTAAGTAAGAACTATCCAGAAAGAAATGTCTACCAAAATATTCACTTGATGTCTAAATACTGATAGGGATTATAAATATTTCTATCATATATGGTAGCAAATTAAACTTTAAATGACAATCTTTAGATGGACACAGATGATTTATTTGAACTCCGGTGACTCTCACTAATTATTTTCGCTTTATGCTCCCATTAACTGTTCTCTGTATTACCCAATACTTTCCAATCTTCCATGGATCGATTTCAACTACCTGTTGAACTTTGACCGTATGACTGAAAATGGTCTAGAAACTGTAGTTCACATCTGTTTTAACCTGTTAGCATTCCAGCAAAAAAACGAGTTCATTGGGAATGACATTTCCACTACTTTCTTCTTTCTTCTAAATACCTAGATATTTTCCATTTCCTAAAGAATAATACTGCACATTCTTTAACTAAAATGCTGGATTTCTTAAGAAATCGAAGAAGCAGTAATATAGCTAAAGTTTATAAGAAAGTAATTAGTACTTACTGTGTTTACAAATCAATCCCACCATAATAATATACGTTGACGTCTAATGTTTAGTATGTTGACGAGATTGAAGATGTAATAGAAATACGAACTAAATTTGTTCGATGAAATTCCGCGAAGTACAATTTCCTTCTAGTATTTCATGACATTACTGGTATTGGAATCATTGTTAGGCAGCACTGAAGTTTTCTATAAACTTTTCGGAACTTTCCTGTTATTCTTTCCAATATTTTCAAATACGCAGTTTTCTGGCATGATAGGTTTCTCCTAATCTTTGACAATTATGAATTACATTTTTATTTCAGTAGGTTCTGAAGTAATTCGAGTGATGCCATTACAATTTAGTTTACTCGCTCATTTATCTTCACTTTTTTAATAGTGAACAATCACTCGGACGGTCTCGAAAAAGTCCAACTGGTTTTAGTGAAAACGATGAGATTGAAAAGCGGTATTCTTCTGATACACAAAAACAAGTAACTCCAAATCTTCTGCTAAGGACTAAAAATTTCATGAAGAAACACCATGTAAGTAATAATTTAAGTTTCTTTTTATTCAGTTACAAAACCTATATGACTGTACAGAATGCCTTACTTACTTACTTACGCCTGTTACTCCCAATGGAGCATAGGCCGCCGACCAGCATTCTCCAACCCACTCTGTCCTGGGCCTTCTTTTCTAGTTCTATCCATTTTCTGTTCATTCTTCTCATGTCTGTTTCTATTTCTCGGCATAATGTGTTCTTTGGTCTTCCTCCTCTCCTTTGACCTTCAGGATTCCATGTGAGGGCTTGTCTTGTGACACAATTGGGTGATTTCCTCAAAGTGTGCCCAGTCCACTTCCAGAGCTTCTTCCTGATTTCTTCCTCCGCTGGAATCTCGTTTGTTGTCTCCCACAGTAACTTGTTGCTGATAGTGTCTGGCAATCGGATCCGAAGTATCTTGTGTAGACAGCTGTTAATAATCACTTGTATCTTCTGGATAATGGTTTTCGCAGTTCTCCACGTCTCCGCCCCATACAGTAGAACTGTCTTCACGTTTGTATTGAAAATTCTAACCTTGGTGTTGGTTGACAATTGTTTTGAGTTCAAGATGTTCTTCAGTTGCAGATATCCTGCTCTTGCTTTGCCGATCCTCGCCCTCACATCTGCATCTGATCCAACGTGTTCATCAATGATGCTACTAAGGTATGTAAAGGTTTTCAAATACTCCAAAGCTTCTCCGTCAAGTGTAATTTGATTGGTGCATATTGTATTGTATCGAAGAGTCTTGCTTTTCTCTTTGTTTATATTGAGACCTACTGCTGCTGAGGCTGCTGTTACACTGGTCGTTTTCTCCTGCATTTGTTGTTGCGTTTGTGATAGAAGAGCCAGATCATCCGCGAAGTCTAAATCGTCAAACTGCATCCTGCCTGTCCACTGTATCCCGTGCTTTCCTCCAGATATTGACGTCTTCATGATCCAGTCGATCACCAGGAGAAAGAGAAAGGGTGAGAGTATGCAACCTTGCCTAACACCGGTCTTTACTTCAAACGAGTCGGTGAGCTGACCTCCGTGGATGATTTGGCAGTTTAATCCATCATAAGTGTTCCGTATGATATTGACCATCTTCTCAGGCACGCCGTAGTGTCGAAGAAGCCTCCATAGTGTTGTCCTGTCCTAGCTATCAAATGCCTTCTCGTAGTCGATGAAGTTGATGTAGAGTGATGAATTCCATTCGATTGATTGTTCCACAATGATACGTAGAGTTGCGATTTGGTCTGTACACGATCTATTCTTACGAAATCCAGCTTGTTGATCTCGAAGTTGGGCGTCCACTGAATCCTTCATCCTGTTTAACAATACTCTGTTGAAGGCCTTTCCTGGTATTGAGAGAAGAGTGATGCCTCTGTAGGTATTACACTTGCTGAGATCGCCTTTCTTTGGTATCTTGATCTGAAGTCATTTTTCCAGTCTATTGGTACTTGTTCTTCGTCCCAAATCTTACTGAAGAGGATGTGGAGTATCTTAGCAGTCGCTGTTACAGTTGATTTCAGTGCCTCTGCCAGGATGTTTTCTGGTCCCGCTGCCTTGCCGCTCTTGACTTGTCTAATGGCCATGCTGATCTCTTCAATTGTTGGTGGGCCAATATCGATTGGGAGGTGTGTGGGTGCTGCTTCGATGTTGGGTGGGTTCAGTGGAGCTGGTCGATTCAAGAGTTCTTTGAAGTGTTCTACCCACCTGTTTCGTTGTTCTTCAATGTCGTTGATTACTTTGCCTTCCATGCTTTTCACTGGTCTTTCTGACTTACGGTAATTCCCAGCAAGTTTCTTGGTTGTATCACACAGTTGTCTCATGTTTCCCTCTCTTGCAGCCTTTTCCGCTGTCATTGCTAAATCTTCAACATATTTACGTTTGTCGGTTCTGATGCTCCTCTTCGCTTGCTTGTTTGCCTCTGTATATTCGGCTTGTGCCTTGGCTTTTTCTGCTCTTGTTCGGCTGATATTGATTGCTACCTTCTTGTTCCTCCATTCTTCAATTTCATCCAGTGTACCAACAGTGATCCATTCCTTGTGATGGTGCTTCGTTTTGCCCAGAATCTCTTGACATGTTGAAACGATTGCCTCCTTGATACCTTTCCAGTTGCTCTCCATGGTAGTTCCCTCTCCATTGAGTAGATCATACAAAGCCTCGAACCTGTTGCTGAGGGCTATGTTGAATTTGTTGAGTTTGTCAGCATCTCGAAGAAAGGCCGTATTAAACTTTTGTGATGTTGTCTGCGCCGTTGTCCAGTGCTTCTTAAGTTTTAGTTTCATCTTGGCGACCAGCAAATGGTGATCGGATGCTATATCGGCTCCTCTTCTGGTTCTCACATCCTCCATCGTCCTCCTGAACTTTTTGTTGATGCAGATATGGTCGATTTGATTCTGTGTAGTGTGATCCGGTGAAATCCAAGTGTTTTTGTGTATGTTTTTGTGTGGGAATATGGTGCCACCTATGACCAGTTTATTGAAGGCACATAGGTTTGCAAATCTCACCATTTTCGTTCCTTTCTCTCAGTCCATGTCGTCCCATGACGTTTTCGTATCCAGTGTCGTCCTTTCCAACCTTGGTATTGAAATCTCCCATCAAAATGGTCAGGTCCTTGGTTAGGCACTTCTCGAAGATCGACTGCAGCCTATCGTAGAATTGGTCTTTAGCGTCTTCATCGTAGTCGTTTGTAGGCGCATAGCATTGGATGACGTTCAGTGTAATGCCCTCTCTCTTTGTTTTGAAGGAGGCTTTGATGATCCTTGGTCCATGAGATTCTCATCCAATAAATGCATTTTGTGCTTTTCTGGACAGCATCAATGCAACTCCTTGTGTATATGGGGCATTTTCTTCTTCATGACCGGAATATAACAGAAGTTCCCCTGAAGATAGTCGTTGTTGTCCAACCTGCGTCCGATGTGTTTCACTGATTCCGAGCACCTCCAGGTTGTATTTTCTCATTTGTGCAGCAATTTGAAAGACTCTTCCGGTTTCCCACATTGTTCGGATATTCCATGTACCTATAAAAATTGTCGCTCTGGTTGTAAGAAGGTGCATCGGCCTCATGAATTCCGAAGGAACTTGGCTTTCATCATGAGACGTCATAATTATTCCTTCTACTCCCGGGGCAGAGTTTAAATGGTTTGAATGATTTTTTTCTGGTTAGCGTTTTTTGAGCGAGTTGGTTTTCTACGGGATGGGGTCGCTAACCCCATGCCGAACCCTCCTCCTTTACCCGTGTTTGGGACCGGCAGTAACCCCCGGAGGAGCTACAGGCGGAGTTACAGGATGCTTTAAGTTATTAGAATCTTATTAACAACCGCTGATGAGTTTTCGAATGCTTTAATGTTACTTTTAATTCCAGTTCATTAACATAAAGCCATCTAACTGGATTTTCTTACTCAAAATATAGTACACCTGTGACCTAAACAACATGAACTATATTGTGAGTTCAGTTTCAGATATTTTGTGAAGAATTGTTTAAATAAATTTATACAGTCGTTTTAAGTGTAGAAAGAATAAATGAATGTAACTAGTACAGCAGTTATCTCATTTTTACTTCGGATGAACATTGATAAGTCAAAACAGAGAATTTTATGGTAATAATAATTCTGTGTCAACAGCGTTGTATTATGTTTCGGCTCTTCTCACTCAGTTAAAAGTATTCTAAACAATTAATAAAGCACAGTAATACTGACATGAAACGGTAACCAGTTTCCTACCAAAAGTTTATTGACTACCTTTTTGTTTGAATTCCATACAGTAAGAAATTAATGTTCTAACCAATTTGTTTGATATATTAATCTTTACGCCATTTTTTAAATATACATATAATAGGAGACAGTTGTTTTGAAACCTGATTTCATACTACCCACTTAATATTAACAAATAATAACCTTTGGGACAAACAAAAATATCCTAAGCTGATTTGTATATGTGCTGTAAAATTTATGAGTTTAATGAAAAAAAATTGACTTTTCCTTATTTCAATAGAGTTGCGTTGATGCCCCTCCAGCTCATTGGATATCAGCACCGGTGGCCTTAACACCAAATCGTGACCTAGTTCATAGTTGTTCTTCTATAGAGAACGAAGTTTGTTTATTGGTTAGCCAAGTACAAAGTAGAGACTTTATCACTTCAGCACAATATGCTCCGAAATGTTATATAAAATCACTTGATTACGCACCTTCAATTAGAACCTCATTTAATGAGATTGGTAATCCACCCAAACCGCTGGTAAGTGATTTTTTGTTTAACCCTTACTACATCTCCAAAATAGAGAAACCAGGTTTCAATTTGTGATAAAAAAAGTACTTCGATGTATTTTACTAAATTACAAAATCTTACAACCTCATTTATTTGTGGTGCTTTTAATTATGCATTCACAATTAACTTGAAATATTTGTCATAATGACAAATTTTGAACAGTAGCGGATGTCTTTTACTAAACAATCTGCCAGGTGATGAAAGTCAGTCATTGTTTGGAGAATCATCAACACTATCGTCCATACATTGTAGAAGCAACAGTGATGAACTTCACCATAACAAGGTTTTTACGAGTTGGATAAGTAGCGGGTATTTAAGTGTTTATTTTCATGCTTCGTAAACAAGATAACTGTCATTACGATCATTACCAACGGTATATGCTCTTCCAATGGCTAAAGAAATTAGTTAGAATAATTTATTTCGGGCACACAACTCAAGTGGTGCAGCTATCAATCAGTGAGACAGGAATTAGTATTTACCATGGACGTAAATAATTAGGCGGATGAGTCATCGTCAGTTAAGTATGTATACAGGTGGTTTAAGCGATTGCATGAGCGAAATATGTGGGCTAGCACATATGTACAATCATACATCTTGGAAGGTTAATTATATGAAAATATAAACGAATTATTAAGGGTTATAGCGACACATTTTAATAAACACGGCTCATAACTGGCAATGGGACCTAGGATCCTGTTTGGATGTCGTCTACTGGATGTACCTGCATCTCAGCGTTGAAGTCAAACAAGAACTCAAACACAGTACCTTTGATCTCAAACTCTGATGTGTTCTCCTCTTACCTACTTAGTTCAGACAGCCACAGGGTTTGAATCTTGCTGTTGTTGACGTTAAGACCTACAAATGAGTGCCTTAATAAAAATCAACTCTAAGATCCAAGTACATTCAGATGATGGGCCAAGGGTTGTGGGACGAGGATGAATTCTATTTTTTATTTGTGTGAATCTGCTTGTTTCTGGTGTTAACGCCTGAGTTCTGAATATTCACTTTTGGAATATGTGGATCCTTAGCTAATAGCTTCAGTATTGTCATCAGGTCACAAATGTTTAAGAAAGGATCAAGACCTTATTATCAACAACCTATACAAACGAAGAAGCATTTGAGAGAAGACTCTTAATATAACTAAAAAAAATTAAGACTAAATAACCGTTGAGGTTCTTCTCCATCAAACAAAATGGTATCATATTGCTAACATTCTTTCTCTAATTCATAAGTTAACTTTCAAATAAACTCTATAATTATCGATCAGTCTCCTTTAATCATATTTACAATTCAAATTTTAGGTTAATTTATTATTAGTTAATGTGTCATTATCATCTAGTTGATCACTGTTCATACTTTAGATATTCGATTTTTTTTGTTTTTAAAAAAAACTGACAAAATTAGTGTATTATAAATTTATTAATTAGTATTCATGATTATTCAGTAGACAGAAATATAAAAAGTGTTATGTAAGACTGGAACTAAAAAACTGACATGATTTAATGAAATGTCGTATTAGAATTTTTGTCGACAAGCCCTTAACTAAATGGGACTATAATGTAAGGAAATTTATTGAGTGAAATTCTTTATTATTCTATGATAGATATGTGATGGGAAATAAAGGGATTTTTCTATTTATCACAATAGAATGCAATAATAGGATAGTACAACCTAGATATACGTATAAACACATACATATAATATCCGACCGACTATTTTAAAACCAAATAATAAGTTAAGATTACAGTCTATTGATACAAAGTACAGAACAGGCACACAATGTGAAATCCGAATAAAACTATGATGAAATCATTGATAGAATAGATTTATGATACTATTTAATTATGATATATTTTTTATAGATGACGGTTTGTATTCGCCTACTAGGCCATCATGATTTACTTTCACTGGCCACAAATCATTCTTCTTTGTTAGTGTAATTAGTTGTCACTTGCTGACTGACTTACGTTGCGTGGAATTAATGCATAAGATAATATACACGTTTACTATAGAGAGTAAGGGTATTGTCATAAAGCTAATGGATTTCGAATCCGAAGTACTTATAATAAAATGAGTGATGGTAAATGATATACAATGTATCTAGACGTGTATTTTTTGCAGCTCATTTCCTCAAACAGCTGTTGAGAAATATTAGTATGAACACATACGAATTTACTTTCTTCATCAGTCTTTCATTTCTGTAAAATAATAAACTAAATATCTACACAGTGATAGTAGACTATAATTGTTCAAATGACTGAGAGCAATACTTAGAGACATCAGTTTCCCATGTATGATTAGCTGTCAACAGTATTTTATGAACAGAACATTTATCGTATCCTGTTTAGTAGAGAAAATTTGTTTGAATCCTGTAGTTGCATTAGTCTTCACAAAACATCACTGAGAAACATTTATCACCACAGCTAAATATCTAAGTTGTCAGCATTGTCAACTTTAAACGACTTGATTGACACGCAAAATTTAGGGTCATATTTACTTAGACTAAGTTAGATTCAATTGCGTTGGATAACGCCACATTTACTCTGAAATTCCAAACCATTTCTATTAGTCAGTTGCCTTTTCATACATATTTTGTGGCTTCTGAAATAAGATCAAGGCTGGAAAATAGAAAAACGTTAAGAAGTATTTTGTGTTCTTATTGATATGGTCCAGTCTTTTTCTCGTTTAATGACAAGGCAAGCGAAAGACTGACGTAAAAATGAATTAGTGAGGTCAACTGAATAATTCAGTAGCTTTATTTTCTTACCGTTATTCCTGAAAAAGCTAATCCAGATAGGATTCTGGTTGACTTATTGAAAACCAAAAATAACTAATTACGAAGTTAGGAAATCTCTGTAAGACATAAAAGCTCTCTCTGTAGTCGAAATTTTTGCCCTCGTCAGGATACTTATTGATCTTCATAATTTGAATGAGATGATTGTTTTTGCAAGGTCATATTACCAGTCGTGTAGAAAAAAAAGACTCAGACGGGATATTCTAAGTTATTCAAATGAAAAATCTGAGCTAAAATCCAGACAAGCAGCAAAGTGGTTAGTAATAAGACTACCTGACAATAAACGTCTCTGAGAAACACTACTAATAAGTGTTATGTCACGATTATACCGAATTAGTGAAGTGCAAAACAAGCCAAATGTAACTGACTTGATAAGTTTATACATTTTTGATATTGTAAAGTAGATAAAATAAAATAAGAACATATATATATATATATATTTATAAAATACAGAAATTACAATTCATTTTTCTGAAATTTTTATTTGATTTAAAAAAATTTCAACACAAATAGAATTTCGAAGATAACCTAACTGCTACAGTGAGTGAAGTGCGTATGTGGATCAACAAAATAATAGACGACAGCTAGTTAGAATTTATCACAGATATGAAGATCATAATATATATTTTTTGGAACTGATGAATTAAAAAAGACTATGCTTAATAGTTTCTTCTTTTTAGTAAAATGAACTTAATATAATCTTTTATGTGTTGAATTTAATTTGCTTCTATTATTTCTTAATACTGTGCTTAAAAGTGAGAAGTATGAGTTTTTCTTGCATACTAAATGTCTATAGGGAAAGTAATTGGAATAACTGTATACGCACTCGATTATAATTGCTCATAGATATACGAACTTAATTGGAGTCCAGGAGAGAACACCAACTCAGGGATGCAGTAAATCCAGCTGCCGAACCCCATATAGGACGAAACGCGCATCTTGGATTCCACTTTTAGCCAGCATCCATCTGTCCTTAAGTGGACTATATATCTTGACAAAGCAAATTACTAACTGAATTCTTTTTACCTATTTACTAAAGATGTGTGTTATGGTCTTGACGATATTTTAGACAGATGAAATGAAGAAGGAGATAAGCGTACTTTCAAATTAGAAGACAAAAAATGTGCACAGTTTTATTAGTTAATAGTGATAAACGTTCAAATGATCATTGGGAGATAGATTTTTATTATAAAAGCGTGGTAAACATTTTACTGTAGATAACTTTATCACATTTGTGATCACTTTTATTACTAGATGAAGCTCTTTAGTTTCATGCAAATATACAAAATTATGTAAGTCAATTATTAAATAAATTAGATACTTTGTACAGAAACCGACCGGTTTAAATCACTTTTGCAAAATAGAAGAACGGTGTTTACGTTTGTGAAAGATATAAAGGATTTACTTGAGAAGAGGGAAGAGGCAGAGAAAAATTAATTAAATCTAGCGAGAAATAAAATGAACCACAGTTTAAGTGTAGTCTAATTTAAAAAGGCTCTACTACAGAATGCAAAGTATAAAATAACGTGAAAACATAGTGACCATGGACATTACATTCTTAGGGGATTGGATGGCAACTTGGACCTCCTGGAGCAGAGGAGATTAGGGTTGTAGATGTAATAGAAGAAGCAGGATCTGATAACTGTCTGTCAGCTGACGCCACACTTGTAATCAGAGGACCAGAAGTAGAGGTATTTGTAACAGGCAGTTTCAGAGACTGAACAGGCGTTTGTACACAAGATGAATCACAGGTACTCGTTACAATATTTTTTTGGCTTGAAGTCATAGTGTAACATGGTACTGAGTTCATAACTACACCGACACTAGATGATGTACCAGTGATGCCACTGTTACTAGTGGGTGGTAGAAGTCCAATATTTGTATTATGAGTAAGAGGATTTGATAGATTTTGATCAGTCACATTTTCATTATCATTTGGATCAGGTGGGACTAACAAATAAGTAATGAGATATTCAGGATAAGCTTGTTCACCTCTGTATATGACATACTCAGAGAAATTGAGTCCACCTGCGCTTGGTCGACCAACAATTGAATGGTGGCCCGGGGGTGCATGAGCTACTTTCATGGCATTGAACTGAATGAATGACCGTCCTAAAGCAACGCGACATAATAACAACTGACGTGGACAAATGTAACATGAACGAGATTTGTGAGCTGGGCAGCCGGCTCCTCCACCAATTCCATATACATACTAAAAAAGATAAAGTATTGATAAGCTAGATAAATATTCTTAGATTTTTGATAGGAAAAGTAATTACTGGGATGTAAAATGGAAATATTATTATTATTTTACTTGGAAACAAATAATGTGTAAGCTTATTGAATAATTGATAAGCTGTAGAAGACTACATACTTAAAGCATTAAATATTGATTACCTATGTAACTAACTTTCGTTACATAGTTTATCCAAATCAGTTTTCAAGGCCTTATCCACGTTTTAAGCTTTGTAATTAGCGAATGTATTTTCAAGCCTTTTCCTAACTTTTGAGTGAAGGCCAGTTAATACAAAAATTGCCTTGATTGGTAGTTTTATCAAAAATATGACATACATTGTGACTAGAAAAATGATAATGTGGCAGGCAAGGTTCGACATAACATTTGTCACACTTAAAAGGGTGCTCAGTTGTACAGTAATGACTAAGTTTATAACTTAGTGGTGTACACTTTTGTGCTAAAAAGAGTAGAGATGTTAACATCAAAAAAGACAAACATGGGAAAAGTAATATTTAGAGTAACAGCTGTAACAACAACTAATAAAGTACATAATTAGTGTACAGAATGTGCATATATACATGCACGAATTGGGATTGTGGTGATTACGTACGTAACCGGGTATAAAAATAATTATGCAAAGTCGTAAACACATACCGCTTGATGACAAGGTACAGTAGTAAAATGAGTACATTAGGTTTGAGCTTGTGACTCAGTCGTTGACGGTTCAGTGTTTAAGGTACTGAACAGACCTGTTTTAATTTCAGAAATACTTCAAGTGGTAGCGACATATTCATTTCTTGTATCATTATGGAACTAACTCAGTTTTACTTTGTTCATTGATGTTTTTTTGGATTTATTCTTCACTTAAGTGAACTAGTAATTACTGTTGTAACCTATAATCTACGAAAAATCCAAAATTTTATACAGTCCATCAATAAATTTGAACAAAGCACAAAGAACAAGACTCATTGGATAGACTGAAGTCACTCTAGTTACAGGATTCTCATCAGCTGTAAACTGCTCTACTTTACATGACATAATATTCAACATACAAATATGGGTCAATTTCAAACAATATGTGCAATGTGTCATTCTTTATTGTTTATAAGTTACTGTAAAGTGGGGAAAATTTATTTTAACCTAATTGTCTAAAGTTTTTCAAAACTTTGTAGTAACCACATCATTATTTTTGATTTGAGGGTAACTTTAGCTAACAAAAAATCTTAAAATAGAATGAATTTATTTAATTTCGGGAACCATGGTCTTGCTTGATTTAAACTTGATATTACTAAATTGAAGTGTGTTCAAAGGGATGACAATGACTCGCTTTAGAGTGTGTATAAGCGGGATTACAACTCAAGATTTTGAACATGAAAAATATTATACCATTAAGTCTGATACTGTTTATTGATTAGTATAAAGAAAGTAAAAAAACGGGGAACTAAGATGACTGTATTTTAATGTTGTTAAAGATATGAAATGAAAACAAAGTGTTTTCACAATAATTTGTTGCTTAAAACAGTGTAAAGATATCATTTCTATGTAAACAAACAAAAAAGAAATAGCGTGAGAGGTTTAAGGACTCGTCCTTAAAGATAATTTTTGTACTTTGAATTGAGAGTATATATTGGTCTTGATATTCTATCAATTGTAGGATAATAAACAAATATTCATATTTCTCTCTATCAAAAGTTATTTTAAATCAAAGATCGTTGTGATCGAAGATGATTGCATTGGTATAGTGATAAAACTAAACACTTCCACAATGCGAGTGTCAAGATGTTTTCCATTTGTAACCAAATATAATAAAATCAATATGGTGTTCGTCAATCAACATCGACTACTGACTCAGTGAAACATGAAAGTTGAACTATTCGAGCCTCAATATATTCAGTAGCTTAAATATTAAAGCACACAAAACTGATTTATCAGATAGCAGGTTTGGAACTTCCTTGACGAGACGAACCGATTATGTCAAGACTACATGGGGTGATACTTCCGAAAAAATCAATTTGTTATGCAGTAAATAAATACTAATAGAACCAGAACACATACAAAAATGTGGCTCCCCAATGCTCTGGTACGGCCGAGGGTGGGGAGAGTCAGCTCTCCCTCTCCAAATGCATTCACATGTCCATGTGTATACAGCCACTGTCAGGTAAAACCTACTCACTGCCTTCTCGCACCAGGGGTGTTATTTGCGAAATTGAGAAAACGAAAAGCGAATGTCAGGTTCTTTAACCGGGTTGATGGATACGTAGGATCCACCTAGGGGAGTTGGAAAGCCCTGATTCCAAATAAATGGTGCACATGGGCTCCAGGATCCTAAGGGAACAAATGGCGTATGAACCAATTGTCGGCCACCGGCTACCGTGGGACTGTACCTCGTTACGTTGCTCTACTGCCATGTGTATTAGACCCTTAGGTCAAAGGCTCGGGGTGTGGTCCCCTAAGAAAACCACCTGCTTCGGTTTAGGCAGTCGGGCAGTATCCCAGCCCTAACACAAATCCAATGATTTATGTGATGCATATCTACTTGGTGCCTCCTTGTACCAATGTTTATGTGTTTAAATAATAATAATAATACAAAAATGTCACTAACAAATGGAGATAATATTTATAAACATTCACCTGGTTCGACTTAGATGAGTTTTCTGCGAAATATATACCAGCTCCAAACATCCCACCAATATATGCATAGCGTTCATCAAACCCTTTCATAACGATAGACTGCAAAAATGGGGATCCATGAAATAGAAGTCTTTCGTTATAATGCCCAGAATTATCTTCAGCGATTTCGGCACACCGGTGCAGATAACGATCCCAAAGACGTTTATTTCTAATTCTAGCAACTTTTAGTATACGATATCGTTTGTAAATCCCACCACAATTATCTTTATGTTCTCTTATTGTGCTCTGAATCTATGGGTAGAAGGAAAAACATTTGAGAAAATATATTCAAAAAAAGAATAAATGTTGAGCATAATCATTACACATCTATACGAAAACTATTTTAGTGTCGATGAACTTTGTGTGTTGTCTTCCTGTATTTTATGACCGACAACAGACAATCATATCCACGCTAGAAAATGTAAGACAATCGCAAAAATTATTCAAACAGCAGGGATATTTTATTATTCACCAATGAAAATAAAATAAAGGCATTTATGATATAAATGGAGAAGAATGATTTCAAACTAACAGTTTCATTTAAATACAAAGGCTGGGATGTAAAACAAGTAGCTCAAAGTGTATATCCGAAATCGTTAAACTGCAGTTTTGCGGAGACATAACTAATAAAAAATTTTCTAGATGCAAAGGATCACTTGGAGTGAATCCATATCTCACAAAAAAATACTAATAAATAATGATATAAGAACATTACCAGCTTGACAACTAAATTTTAATTTAAATAAAGACAGAACAAATATTGATGCAGAATAATATGAATTCATTATATTTCGTGGTTTCTCATCAGCTGCTTACAACCAAATATGCATTAGAGTTTCAGCATTGGGGTAATAAATAGAATGGAACGACTGACATAAGTGAATGTAAAGGATTGGAATAACAAAAGTCATCGATGATAACTATATATATATATATATAGGTCAGAGGTTATTAGGTATTAGAATAAAGGCTGGCGTAATAGTTGAGTGGAGTTCAGAGACAGATAAAATCAAAAATAAAATCAATGTAATGTGATTATTTTAGAGGTAGTTGAAAACAATTAGGGTTACGTAATAATTGAATAATTTTTAGAGGTAGTTGAAAACAATTAGGGTAGGCTACGTAATAATTGAATAAATCTGGATAGTTCATATAATTAGGAGAGACAAATGAGCGGAAATGTGTGAGAGAAAGGGTGGTTTAAGAATCGGGTAAGGGGAGGGGAATATAATAAAAACTGAATATTAACCGAAATTGAACTAATAACAACAAAACTGAAACAAACAAGCAAAAAAAGGATTACCAGGGTAGTAATAAGTTTATCACTGTCTCTTTTTGAATACATAGATCCGGTTTGAGTTTTTTTCTCGCGATCGCTTCAGCAAACCGGAGAGCAGTTGTACTTCTTTGTTTACTAATGATTTTAAAGGCACGAGAAATGTCAATGCTGTGCCTGGTGTCGAGTAAATGACGAGCTATCGCACTGTTGAGAGTCCTGGAGCCTTGCAGCCTCAGTTTCTTGGGAACATGCTCAGAAATGCGGACATGCACTCTTCTCTCGGTTCTTCCAATGTATGTGCTTCGACAAGTACATGTAAATTGGTAAATTAATTAAATGAATAGAAACAAACATGTTTCGTAACGCTAAAAATACTATCCATAATTGTTAATATTGGTAGACAACAAAACTATAAATAATTTCTAGTGGGAAGAAACAACTACATATAAAATCATGGTAATAAAGACTAACTTTAAATCAAATGATAAAAAATTGATAAATTTTGAAATGATCACACCATGTTATTTAATTTTACCTGTTCCTCAACAGCTAGGAATTCTGAATCTGTACAATCGATTTCTATCATCACAGTGTTTTTAGCTGCTGCTGCAGGAAAATAGGCAGGACCAGTTGGAGTGGCTTCAGCTACACCAACACCATGAAACTGTGTTGTTGTTGAACTTGTAGAATGTAGACCAATGGAGGGGTATGAGGTGCTTGATGAGGGTACAGAAGACTTGAGAGTATCATTACTGGGATCTAATGGGGACTGTTGTGTTATACAATTAGAGCGCCATTTCTGTACGCCTTTGATAATTTTATGACGATGTCCATAAACAGTTACACCAAGTTCTTTTAACTCTTCGTGACCCATTTCTAAAAGTATATCCATTGTTACCTGGTAAAAAGTAAAAATATCGATCGCCATAAAACAAAACCACACTAAAAAAAGTGAGAAAATTGTGCAGTATATATGTGGAAATGGACTTAATTTAACTGTAATTTAAAAAAGCAACTTGATAGAAATCAAAACATAAGAAAGAATATCTCATAGTAAGTTTAGGGTAATATTTCAAGATGCTGTAAATTCTGAGAAAAAATTTTGTATTTATTAACGCGAGTAACGGGATCAAGAAAATAATTATTATTTCTAGCAAGTTCGTTAAGTGTAATAAAAGGTGAATGAATTTGTACCAGTCCAATGGATTACGAGTCAAACTATTTAAAGTTTATAGTTGATCACGTGGACCACAACCAGTTAATCAGCATCCACTAACATAGCTCTAACTAAGGGTTAGTAACATTAAGGACTGATTTTACGTTTTGTTTTGACTGTCTTTAGTTCTATCCCAATCTAAGACAGGATTATATGTAACTAAATATATTTAAACCATTTTCTACTTTCTACATATAAACAAGCATACAGCCTAATTGAGATCTTAGATGTTACCTTGACGTGATGGTCGGGCTTTCCTACTGTGATCGCTCAACCAAGCCATATTGCCCGGAACACAGGTTTCTTAAGGCCTATCATGACAGGCAGGTCGGTTGGAGAACGGTATTACTGAAAGTAGCAACCTAAGGTCCGAAGTCGAAGTCGTACTTCCGGCTGTAGACGGGTGTGGCAGCAGTAAGGTGCTTCCCTCAAACAAACAGCATCTGCAGCGATGCCGCCTTCTCAAAAAGGATGTAAGAGGAGGCCGGCACCAGGTATACCACGCTTCACCTTACTCTACGGATTTCCGTCGCTGTAGTAAAATCTTTTGAAGTATACAACTAACGTATCAAAAACTTTCCATAAAATGGCCGTACGTGAGCGGCCGTAAGTAGTTATCCCTTATGCTCTGAGGTCACGCTCCTACGTCGCTAAAATCAACACTAAATACTCTTCTTTTTCTTCAGGTCTCTCAAGAAGAAATATCCTTCCACAGAGTGGGCAACCGGGAAGTGACAACCGCACTCATACCTCTATCAACACTCGAAATAATCTTGTTTGCTGTCAAATCCCTGTCTCATTTCTTAATAATTCTCCTATTCTCACGACTAACCCTTCTCATTTATATTTTTCTCACGAGCCACCAATGCTAATGATTTGAGTTCACAAAATGTTATTTCTGATCTCCAGAAACTACACATTAGACTACGTGTTGGAGCTCCCAATATTCGAACCATGTGTCAGATAGGACAACAGACTTTTTCAGCTGGCACTCCAGAACCTCGCTACATCGATGTATGCTGCGTCTCAAAGACGCGCGTAGAGGATCCATGTACAATCATTTATTTGACCTGACGTTGTCAATATACATAAGTGGCATGATTTACCCTTTGAGTATCTGGAAATCTCACTGCCACTTCACGTGGTGTCTCTGATGTAGTTATAACATTGAATGCAAACGCAGAATAGGCTCTGTTGGACTGCATTCCAGTAGACAGTCATTTGTGCTCTGTCTGACTAAACGGGACACTAAGAACTTGAAAAGATAACAACATATGGCGTTGGCTTCACATTGTCTCTGCCTACACTCCCTTTAGTTGGATATTGGCACAGCTAAAGATGAATTTTATAGGGAGCTATCCAACCTCCTAAAACTCAAACCCCGTGATGACGTTATGATAGTGGGTGATTTTAATGCACTAAGCAAGTAGACGAAACCAAACGGGAAGGCACTTAGAAAGGTCATACGGTATCGTGTCTCGGCAAACAGATTATGGAGACGGTCTACTGTAACTATCCTTAGATAACCGTCTACGTCTAGAAAACACCAGATTTAAACATGTGGAGAAACATCGTCTGACGTGGTGACCTTAACAACCGACTCATCGATGAACTCAAATAGATCTCATTGCCGGCAGCTTAAAAGTAGACTGAAAAAAGCATACGTAATGATCATGAGCAGTGGTGAGTAGCGAAAACAGTAGAAGAGATGGAAAACGCAGCAGTCAAACATAACATAATCCAGTGAATAACACTCTGAGTTCTTCACAAAAATCATCCACTGAAAGACATGTTACTGATTCATCAAATTACATGCCTTCTTCACCAGGTAACTTTTCCTTTTTTATTTGGGTACTAGTAAGTTTTCCTTTCACTTTCAATTAATAAAGTTGTGCTATTTGTCTAGCAAAAACTTAAATTTAAGGATTGAGTAATAACACTTTATTAATATATGAGGCAAGTATTTTTAACGTATTTCAAGCTGTACCTCTTATATCTTCATTTCATATACCAACTTTGCGCCTAGGTTTGTTAACAATACGTAGTTATTAGATTAACAGGACTATGATCAAACTGGTCAAGAAGAGACATAACAAAGTAAGATCAGTGACGAATATTACCCAGTGGGTTTGAATCCCATAATGCAAGGTCAAAATCTCACGAATTAAACACTATTTTATGATCAAATATGACGCTGCCAAGAAAACAGTTGTTAAATTTTTACAAAGATAGTTTCATGAAACTAAAACGTTTAACTGACTCAGATGATCACTAATAACTTTCATGTACGTATCCTATAACACAATACTTGCGTTGTAAGTCCTCCAATATTTTACAAACAATTTGTCTTTGGACGCAAACAACCAGTGTTTTGTATACCCACTATTTATTTCGACCAATGTTACTGCTTAGTGAACTCTTTAAAACAAAAGTTGCAATCATGAGTACACAATAAATATATGAAAGTATAGGTAAAAAAGTAGGCTGGAAGGAGGATAAATATAAGCAAACCAAAACATGGAATCGGTTTGTGAAGTCACTGAAAGTTGAACTTAGCAATGTCAATAGGTGTAGACTATGTGGTTGAGGTCTGCGTGATTATCGTAAACAATAATTGGAGACTTTAAATGAGATTTCTCAAAATCATTTGTAATGACGTATGTGCATCTATTCTTTGTCCTCCTCCGAACTCACCCTAACTTTTTTGTGTTTCTGTTTCCCTAATTTCTATTGTATTCTCGAATCGTATCGCTGATGCCAAATCTTTCCTATTACCACTGATACTGTTACTACCTCTAATATTCTGAGATTTGGCCTGACAAATTCACCTCTCTGTGCTAATTGGGTATGGCAACTTGAACCGATATACATACGTACAGGTTCTACCTTTCAACCTAATGACTGACTGGCACAGCTTGATGGAGCACCTATCTTATTTCATGTTTCGATATGTATAACTTAAAGGTGATTGGCTGATAAGAACTTGTTAAACTTAACACAGTAAAATATAACTTCATGAATGAAGGATTAAAAAATAAGTGTACAATTGTAATAGGTTAAATTTAACTCACTAATTCCTTTTCGAATAATTCGACCAACTGACCCAAACCAAGGGATATAAGAAAATTCGCCGTCGTTAGTTTACCATTACCTGAACAGCTTGGGTTATTCAACTTAACCAAAGTCATATTTGATGGAGAGGCTGGGTTTAAGATATTTGCAGATGGAACAATTGGTCCCGGTAAATTAGACTCGCGACCTTGACACTCAATTCGTGGACCGATGGACATAGATGGTAACAGGTTACTAAACGATGTTTGCTGAGGTAAGGATGTGTCCAAGTTAGATGTAGGTAAGGTAGTAGAACTGAACGACGATGAAAGAACATTTTCCTTCGAGACTGTTGTAATACATGCAGTCGTGTGAAGCATTACATCCAATAGCAAAGATTTAACGTCATCAGCTGTCGCCAGTTCGAAAGGTGTTTGGTCTAAATAAAACATAGTTTGTTATGAGGTACTTTATGAAATAAAGGTAAAATAACTCAGTTACTAAGCAGAATTTATTGATGTTTTGATTAATGATGAAACAGTGTAAAATGCTATATTGATCGATAGAATTCGATCAGCACAAAAGGATAAGAGAAATATGATATTAATCACTACTTAGTGATCACTCAATTGTGAATATCTCAATCCCATAGGACATCAGTCGCGACCCGAAGAGCTCAGAGGTATTGTCCCCAAATTAGGAGCTGGGTTCAAACTATATAGGGAGCACCAGTTTACTGAAGACCACAAATAACCCTTAGTCACGAGTACCAACAAGCAGGAAAGATGAATCTAGGAGTTTCCTTCAGACTATCTATTAGCACCCAACAGAATTTGGATTGCGTGGCGAAAATGTGATGTGATTAAGTTTGTCTGGGCAGAACACTATTAGAATTTATAAAAAAGGATCACCGTTTGGAATTCGAAAGCTTGAATATATTGTTTCTAATTTTAGCTAAGTGTTAGTAGCATACCAGTCCACATTCTTTGTCGTGAATAAAAACTTAAGTAAAGATATTATATTTTGTAATTACTCAAAAGATATTTGGGTTGAAAGTCAGTTGGATTTAAAGGGGTTCAAGAAATCGTAGAATATTTTGAAGTAAAGCGGTGTGTAAAGAATGTTACACTCAAGACGGTAAATGCATCATACTGAGTAATAATGTCAGGATGTTTGTAAATGTAAATTCTTACTCCAACACTGACCTGCGTCAACACCTGAACTAAGGATAGGGAGTGAAGTAGTCGAACGCGTCGACAACTTCACTTATTCTGGAGGTCTGATAAGCCCTGATAGGTTGGTGTCTGACGAAATCTGTGCACGGATTCAAAAAGTTTGTTTGGCTTTTGCCAACTTACGTCACCTATGGCGAAGAAGAGATGTCCGTCTATCAATTAAGAGACGAACATACTGCGCAGCAGTTCGCTTTGTTCTACTTACGGCTGTGAAACATGACCATTAAGAGTAGGAGATACTCGTAAGTTACTAGTATTTGACCACAGATGTCTTAGAAATATTGCTCGCATCTGCTGGGATCACTGGGTAAGTAATGGTGAGGTTAGACTCAGGATATTAGGGAATGATGGTAAATCAGTTGATACGACCAAACCAGAACATGGCATCAGACCTTGAAGTCACCAAATTCTAGTCTAAGCAATGTTGGTAGATGCAGACTACCTGGTTGGGGTCCGCGCGACTATTGTAACCAATGGTTGTAGACTCTAGGTGACATAGCTCAGAATCGATCACAATGGCGTAGGTGTATACACTCTTTATCCTCCCTTAAACCTTGAGATTAAAACTGCTTCATATCTGTCTTCCTTCCTATACTATATACTTATATATAACCTTTCTTTTATGTTACCACCACTAAACTAACTACTATGAACCCGGTTTTCATCTTGTTGTGCTAACGAGGTATGGCAACTTGGACCGATGCATATATGTGCCTGGTCCTACGTTATAGCTGACTGACTGACTATGACACATGGTGAATAGTAACGAAAACTGATATCATTTGAAGATTACTATGAAGTCGCTGTTTAGTCACTGCTTTTTAATGAATAATAACCAAGCTGAATCAGTTAATTCCTATTTCAAAGAAAATAACGTAGAAGAATAAGTTATAGAGCAGTTGAAACCGAAAGACAAGGATAAAGGTAGTTAATGAGGAAACAGTCAGTACGTCGCCTAGCTTATTGGTACAGAACAACAAACTTAACATTGAAGAGAGCTCATTAGACAATTGTGCATTTTCAAATAAGCTGTAAGAAACAGTAGGTTATATATATATATATATATATATATATATATATATATATATATATATTTGACTAATTTTTTCTTATGGCTTCCTCAGATTGTATTAGTTCTACAGTCTGTCTGTTTACATTCCATCCAATCACAAAATAATTATTTAAAAGCAGAAGAATGAACAAACAAACAAGAATTAAATATTATATCCGTTTACTTGTTAAGTGTTCCTTGTTTCAGTTTAAATTCACTAATATTTATCTACCTTATTATTAATGTAAATAAAAACATTGTACAGTAAGCATATACACACAGTACAAACAGGTATAATCGGTAATATAGTACCACCTAATTATCAATCTTCACTAGTCATAATAAAAACAATGATATTGTTCTTTTCTTTTCTTCTACAAACTCATGTATGAAATATAGATTTATGTATTTAACTTTTCTGATGCTTAAATCGAAGTAATTGGAGCTGAGGTCAGAAAGTGATCTAATGGTTGAATGTCCAGTGGTTCATGAAGAGGAAAAGTATCACATAGTTGAAACAGTAATAAATAGGTTTTATAAAATACTACATAGGAGATATCCACCAATCTAACTTTTCTATGGTTCATAGATCACAATAAAAAGATTCACTTAATATGACTACAGCATACTCCACCGGTGTATAATTACCAATTCTAGATTATCGTGTAAACCTATATTATTATTGTTATTATTATTATTATTAATAATGAGCTTTTCTTATTAAAGTAAAGAGATGATCGGTCAACAAAAGTGACGGAATATGAACAAACATCTTTGTAAGTGATCATTGTTTTGAATGAGTCTAAATTAGTGATGATAAATGAAATCACAAAATCTCCTAGTGATAATCAGATTATATAATCAACAGATTTCCATATGAATTTTATCATATGACATTATCCATGACTTAGAATACATGAACGAACAATATTAAATGAGATTTTATTGGAAAAGAAAGCTTATAAGAATGATAGATAAGCAGATTAACAGAGTAATTCAATGGTGCTATGGAAACTGTAGATTTACACATAACCTATCATAATTGTCCAACAGTTCAAATTACAGCACATCACAGAGAGAGAAAGAGGAAATAATCATAATTGGAAACAAAGAAATTAAAATTAAAATAAACACGGGGAATGGAGTTTGGGAATAAGGAATAAAAACAACGAATGAAATTATGGAATAAAATTAAAGTATTAAAAGATAAATAATGAATATATTTGTCATGTCACATCAGGTCTCCAATCAATGTGATCAAATCGCAGATCTCAAGCTGTAAATAATTTTATGAACTAATCCCATGTCTGGCTGGGATTGGCTTTTTCCCAGTCTAGATTTATGTTAGAAAGGATAAAACATTAAAGTAATGGTTAGGAATGCACAACACATGTTCCGATAATCACAGTCAATGAGAATTCACCGATTCACCACATCTACCTGGTAATTCATACTTAAAGGCAGTATTACTTACTAGATGGTCCCTCCATACACAAATAATGAGTGGGAAACATCTACGATCAAATACTAGCAAATTATGCAAAATTTCAACTTTTGAATGTTATGCTTCTTAGTCAAAAAAGTGATAAGTTAACCAGTGCTCCGTACACTTGACCTAACTAAAACAGAAAACCATCTTTCCTGCTCTAAACTCCCCAAAAGTTAAGTGACGTTTATTCACGTCTGTATCAAGAGCTCGCCAAGCACTAACCTACCCAGTTTGAAATAACCCCAAGATGAGTGAAGAGATCAATGCGCAGAACTAAGTAGCTAACTACATTAAGACGAAAGATGTACAGTCTGAACACGAAATTAATAACATGTTTACACACGCAAACTTATATGCATCGTACTATGTACATTGAACATATGGACAGATATCGGGAAAAAACATCACAGTTTCAGTTGCCACACTTCATGTAAACATAAGGGGAAATCTCTCAGGGAGAAACAAATGAGTGGGCATAGAAAGCCAAAGAATATGGGATAATAAGATGCTTAATACTCAAAGAAACATAACAAATTGAAGTATACGTACAACTGCAACTAATTATAAGTATATCAATTACAGTACTCAGCCATTTATTAAAATAGTTTCACAACACAAATGTAAACAAAGTATTAAATTTAATAGAATTCTAAATACCTTTATCAACATTCTTAGTGAAGAAAGATAACTACCTTGTATATCATAACTAAAACTTAGTAAATATAACTAAACAGAAATGTAACATACTTTCTTGATTTCTTATTTTTGGATCTGCTCCATGAGCTAGCAGAAGAGCACATAACTGAGTTCGTCCTTTTTGAGCAGCTTCATGCAACGGTGTATAACCCCATTTGTCTACAGCATTTACTGAAGTTCCATAGCGAATAAGAAGTGCAGCTACATCAACATGACCGTATGAACTGGCATTATGTAATGGGATTAGACCACCTTTATCTTTGGCGTTTACATCGGCTCCTGATTCCAGTAAGAATTCTAATGTCTTAATGTTCGGAAAAAGAAATAAAGATTACAAAATATTAAGTAAATTTTCAGACTTTTGTAACTTCAGTTCAAGATTTAACGAAAATTTATTATCTGATAATTTCTTAATGGTAGGAAAATACGGAGAAATACTTTTTCAGGATATGAAGTACGGTCACTAAGAGTTAGTACTATGACTAGTATTTTGTGGATAAAAGTGAGACAAAAGTGCTGTCAGTTTTTTACAACTATGGGGATCATTTTATATTAGCACCCTTTTTTATAATCCACTTCTTTGTCTAATTATTTTCGAAACCATATTTAGAACGTACTCGCTCATTGTCGTATGTAAGTGGCATTGATAAATCGTCAGTTTAAAAAGTTTTACCACAGCGTTTACAATTCTTTAGAGCACATAGATTTAATTGGAAGTTTCAAAAACAATGCTAATGCGCAATAACAACCTGTTACTTTAATCTGTAGTCATTTCAATCAATCGGAATATTTCATGAAGATAAAGACGGTAAACTGTTCCCGATACACTGTTTGATCAGTTTAAGAATCCTAACTAAAAGACATTATTGTTAATCAAGGTGTCGTAGTATCCAGTTGCCCCCAAATGCCCTGGTACGGCCGAGAGTGGGGAGAGTCTGCTCTCCCTCTCGAAATGCTCTCACATGGCCAGCGAATATATAGCCTCTGCCAGGGAAGTCCTACTCACTGCCTTCTCGCACCAGGGTATTGTTTACAAAATTGAGAGGACGAAAAGCGAATGTCCGGCGCTTTAACCGGGTTGGTGGACAAGGCGAGTCTACCTAGGGAAGTTGGAAAACCCTTATTCCAAACCAATGGTGCAGATGGGCTCCAGTATCCTGAAGGAACAAATGGCGTACGAATCAATCATTGATCACCGGCTACCATGGAACTGCATCTCCTCACGATGCTCCACTGCCTTGTGGATCAGACATTCAGGTCAAAGGCTCGGGGTGTGGCCCCCTAAGAAAACCACCTGCTTCAGTTTGGGCACCTGAGCAGTATCACAGCCCTCACACAAATCGAATGAGATTTGTGAGGCGCATATTTATCTGGTGCTTCCTTGTACCAATATTTATGTGTTTAAATAAAATAAATAAAATAAAAGTATCCAGTCAATTATATTGAAACAACAGAAAATAATATTAAAAATCGTGCATACAGATAATATCATTGAACATAGGACAAAGACAAATTTTCTATCTTCAAATGAAAATAATTTACTTCAATATTATTATAGCCAGCAGCTAAATGAAGAGGTGTTGAATTTCTTCCTTGAGTATCACGACAATTGATATTTTCTGAAGTTACTAATCGTTTTATTTTGGTTAAATTTCCTTTCTTAGCTGCTTCTAAAACGGCAATATCTCCGCGTAATAGATCATAAACATCACTGTCTGTATCCTAGATAAATAAAGGCCAATATATATATATGATATTATTATACACAAAATATATTTGCTCATATTTCTTAGTGTATAACTATTGAAAAAGCTATCTACTTCATCTGTGTTATGCTTTCATACGGAAATATGTTCTTAAATGAAATTCATCAATTTAGCATGAAACAAAATCTTTATAAAAATTATTTATCTACAGCTTTAAAATATCATTAAACTTTTGAAAAAATTGAACTTTATTTCAAACAAAACGACTAAGTGAAAGTCATAATTTTAACCGAAATCCTACTTCTGTCGTCTAGTTTTTTTGCTAATTGTATGACTATTATTACCACGATAAAGAAAAAGTCTATTAATGAATCATTCAGCTGAAGTTCAGTTAGTTTACTGTCACGAAATAAAACTATGTGACCACTAAGATCAACAATATGGTTATCTAAACTTAATATTATTATATTTTTTACGACATTTGAAGTGATCAAAATCTTAAGTATATATATATACCACCAAAGGCTTCCTTCACAGTTCATTGACTACTTTACGCAGTGGGTGGGGGCTGATAATTTATTGTTGTTTGAAATAAATGTTATCGCAAAACTTTGATCAACGCCTATGAAATACGACCAAATTTCAATAAGAAAAAATTCAGTTTCTGAAAAATTAGCAAAACAAGTTACTATTAATAACACCTACCATTGCCTGAAAACAAAATGTGAATATTTTAATTTAGTAGTTTAGTAGATGTGTGCCGGTATTGTGTCATAAACACTAGTGTACACTATCAATATATAAGAAAGGAGGTATTTCAAGCAAAATCACTGAATTGTGAAAAATAAAGATATTACAAACAAACCTTTTATTATGTAATGAAGAAGTGGCTTAAACTGAGTCGCGAAACGTCAAAAAATCTAATTTTTCTACTCATCGGAATATTACAAATATATTAATTTATTTAAAACAATCTACCCAATGCTCAATTTATTCAAAAAAATAATGAATACATACTTTAACCAGATCTATAGGTGTATGACCATCGCGATTCTTTTTCAACGGATCGGCACCATGTTTGAGCAATAATCGACAAATCTCGAACTTTCCCTTGGCTGCAGCCTCGTGTAGAGGGGTGAAACGCCACAAGTCAGTAACATTAACATTGGCTCCATGTTGAATAAGGAGTTCAGCAACCTTTTAAATAAAAAGTCACCAAATCATTATTTTGTAGCTAGATTTTCAATTACTAGTTACGTGTGATGTCACCAGATAACAGGCACAAACATGTATCACATTACGCTATTTTATTCCCAACTCATATTTATTCAATTTCTTACTACATGAATAAGTTGTATGATTAGTAATAAAACAGTTCTAAACTTAACAGCAATAACCGTAATAATTTTTTATAAGTCAAATGATAAGTCAAAAATACCATGTTATCAAAACTTCACGAGAAATCAAAGGCCGTCTAATGATATCCTTAAGGAAAATTGCGTGTCATAACAGTGAACATCAAGTTTAGTATTAAACGATAAAGTGAATAACTAATCATCTTTCCAGAAGTATCTGAGCTTTATTTAACTGTTTCAAGCGCTTTAATGCTACTCAAGGCTGTCGAGTACATAAAGTATCAATCAAATTCTCGGTATTTAAAGTACTCAGAATCTCTATATCAGTTTACTGGGTCAACATGGTCTTAGTTATGTTAAGTTTCTTTAAAAACAACCTTTCTGGCAAATCATCCAAACCTGACACGGGATTTAACCGATGTGTGAACAGAGTCAATGATATTATTATATTTCAGTCAGTCAGTTTCAAACGTAGAATTTAGTATAAAAATGCACCAGTCCAAACAGTTATACTTGACAACAAAACAACAAGAGAAAACTAAAAACACGAAAATGAAGTTATAATCATGATATCCATAAAAGTAAAACACCATACACTGAGAACCTAGTTCGAAAAGCAGTAAAATAGAGGAACATCTGTATGAAACAATGTTCACACTCCAGATTTAGAGAGATTAAAAAGTATGCGACCTGACAAACTGATATAGCTGAAAATCTAGTACTCTAACTGCCAAGCCACTTCCATCAGAAGTACCAGTTGAACAACACAATTGTACGGAATTTGTTAATCCGAATAACAAATAATTTTTAGTTAAGGTTGCTAAGTATGACTAAATTTCAATTAATATACAATGAAACTTGTGGTAAAATAAACTTACTGATGAGATTAAGTGCCTTACCTTAGCATGACCATAAGAACAAGCATTATGCAGTGGTACTAAACCACCTTTATCTTTAGCATGAACATCAGCTTTGTACTGTAACAGTAATTCTACGATAGCTAATCTATTATATCCAGCGGCAAAGTGTAGAGGTGTTGAGTGTCGACCATCGATATCACGACAATTGATTAGATCCAGTGGAGCAGTAACAGTATACGACTCTGACGACTCGGTACATAATTCATTTGCAGCACCATCCGGACAAACAGAATAATGATGTGTTGTAATAAGACGACGAACCATTTCTACATCACCAGATTTGGCTGCTTCTAACAACTGTAGTACTATATCCGCCCAGCTGTGACTCCCAGACGGGGAGACATAATCAGCACTTGGAATCGGAAGAGTAGTAGTGGTGCTACGATTAGTAGACGAAGGATTGTTAGAAGTAGGTTTCTGAGAGTATTTGGGGTCATGAAACATGTTCGAATTGTCCAGTGAATGTGACCCAGAACAAACAGAAAATGGAATAACTTGTTGACTACAAGCAACCGTACTTTGGGTTTTCTCTGCGTCTAAATTTAAATTTGGGCAATGAAAAAAAGTTTAAATTGAAATTAAACAACATATTTATTATATTTTTGCTTGTTGGTATTCGTGACTAAGGGTTATTTGTGGTCTTCAGTAAACTGGTGCTCCCTATATAGTTTGAACCCAGCTCCTAATTTGGGGACAATACCTCTGAGCTCTTCGGGTCGCGACTGATGTCCTATGGGATTGAGATATTCACAATTGAGTGATCACTAAGTAGTGATTAATATCATATTTCTCTTATCCTTTTGTGCTGATCGAATTCTATCGATCAATATAGCATTTTACACTGTTTCATCATTAATCAAAACATCAATAAATTCTGCTTAGTAACTGAGTTATTTTACCTTTATTTCATAAAGTACCTCATAACAAACTATGTTTTATTTAGACCAAACACCTTTCGAACTGGCGACAGCTGATGACGTTAAATCTTTGCTATTGGATGTAATGCTTCACACGACTGCATGTATTACAACAGTCTCGAAGGAAAATGTTCTTTCATCGTCGTTCAGTTCTACTACCTTACCTACATCTAACTTGGACACATCCTTACCTCAGCAAACATCGTTTAGTAACCTGTTACCATCTATGTCCATCGGTCCACGAATTGAGTGTCAAGGTCGCGAGTCTAATTTACCGGGACCAATTGTTCCATCTGCAAATATCTTAAACCCAGCCTCTCCATCAAATATGACTTTGGTTAAGTTGAATAACCCAAGCTGTTCAGGTAATGGTAAACTAACGACGGCGAATTTTCTTATATCCCTTGGTTTGGGTCAGTTGGTCGAATTATTCGAAAAGGAATTAGTGAGTTAAATTTAACCTATTACAATTGTACACTTATTTTTTAATCCTTCATTCATGAAGTTATATTTTACTGTGTTAAGTTTAACAAGTTCTTATCAGCCAATCACCTTTAAGTTATACATATCGAAACATGAAATAAGATAGGTGCTCCATCAAGCTGTGCCAGTCAGTCATTAGGTTGAAAGGTAGAACCTGTACGTATGTATATCGGTTCAAGTTGCCATACCCAATTAGCACAGAGAGGTGAATTTGTCAGGCCAAATCTCAGAATATTAGAGGTAGTAACAGTATCAGTGGTAATAGGAAAGATTTGGCATCAGCGATACGATTCGAGAATACAATAGAAATTAGGGAAACAGAAACACAAAAAAGTTAGGGTGAGTTCGGAGGAGGACAAAGAATAGATGCACATACGTCATTACAAATGATTTTGAGAAATCTCATTTAAAGTCTCCAATTATTGTTTACGATAATCACGCAGACCTCAACCACATAGTCTACACCTATTGACATTGCCAAGTTCAACTTTCAGTGACTTCACAAACCGATTCCATGTTTTGGTTTGCTTATATTTATCCTCCTTCCAGCCTACTTTTTTACCTATACTTTCATATATTTATTGTGTACTCATGATTGCAACTTTTGTTTTAAAGAGTTCACTAAGCAGTAACATTGGTCGAAATAAATAGTGGGTATACAAAACACTGGTTGTTTGCGTCCAAAGACAAATTGTTTGTAAAATATTGGAGGACTTACAACGCAAGTATTGTGTTATAGGATACGTACATGAAAGTTATTAGTGATCATCTGAGTCAGTTAAACGTTTTAGTTTCATGAAACTATCTTTGTAAAAATTTAACAACTGTTTTCTTGGCAGCGTCATATTTGATCATAAAATAGTGTTTAATTCGTGAGATTTTGACCTTGCATTATGGGATTCAAACCCACTGGGTAATATTCGTCACTGATCTTACTTTGTTATGTCTCTTCTTGACCAGTTTGATCATAGTCCTGTTAATCTAATAACTACGTATTGTTAACAAACCTAGGCGCAAAGTTGGTATATGAAATGAAGATATAAGAGGTACAGCTTGAAATACGTTAAAAATACTTGCCTCATATATTAATAAAGTGTTATTACTCAATCCTTAAATTTAAGTTTTTGCTAGACAAATAGCACAACTTTATTAATTGAAAGTGAAAGGAAAACTTACTAGTACCCAAATAAAAAAGGAAAAGTTACCTGGTGAAGAAGGCATGTAATTTGATGAATCAGTAACATGTCTTTCAGTGGATAATTTTTGTGAAGAACTCAGAGTGTTATTCACTGGATTAAGACTTAATTCTGCAATAAGACGTCTGACACACTCAGTAGAAGCCAAAGAGGCAGCAGTATGGCCTCCTGGTATAGTAGTACAACTTAAGTCTGCACCAAATCCTTGAACTAAGAGCTGTATAATATGAGAATGTCCATATTTAGCAGCCAGGTGTAAAGGTGTGAAACCATGCCAGTCCGCAACGTTTGGTTCGGCACCGCGTCGTAGCAAACAAGCAGTTGCTTCAAGATATCCGTAACGAGCGGCTAAGTGGAGAGGAGTTTGACCATCAACATTGCAATCTGAGACCGAAATACCTTGATCGATAAGCCATTCAATCAACTGTCTACCCAAGACTGGTGAAACACTACGACTGACTGGTTTGACTAACAAGTCCTTGGTGTACTGTGTGTGAGATATAAGTTGTTTGTTTTCTGGTGAATGAAATCCAGGATAAGAACCTGAACTAAGGTGAGATGTTCTCGTGATGGTTTGCTCTCCTGAGTTGGTTGCACAACAGGCAGAATGAAGAGCAGTGTTACCGACGAATGGGTGTCGGAAATGAAGGAGATCCTGATTAATTTGAACAGGCATAGGTAGAATGGATTCTTGGTGTTGACTTGAGGACGATACTGGAGAAATACTACAATTTTTCTGATGTATGCACTGCCCGTCATGAATAGAAGAACAAGTATTAGAAGGAACACTTAAACTGACTGATAGTGGTGGGGCGATTGAAAAGGTATTGCTTGACATGGTGCTAGTGGGTAAAGAGAGCAATTTTCGAATTTGATGGATGTCTGCACTCTGACAAGCTTCAAGAAAAAGATATCCTGTAAAAGAAAATGGTGAACGCTACATTCATCAAATAATTGTACCGATTTAGAGACGTAAAGAGGGAGTATAAATGAAGTTTCTATTAAAGACTGGCTTTATTAAGGGTACGGAGTAAATCATTTGTAAGTATAAAATGTTGTAATCCAATATTTTGATAGCTAAAATTTACCCGAAAAATTTATTGTTGTTTCATGAAATACTTATATGGATGGTTAAGATGTAGAATAAGATACGTTACTAATAGCAGATGCAAACGTTTATATTGATACAAGGGCTGTATAAGTGTAAAACGGATTGAGGATTTTTGAAAAGCTTACAGATTATGTTTAGCACAATGTCATATCTCTTGACAATAATTATTTCAATAAAAATAAAACTGGGATATACTTAAGTATGGTCACCAACTCAGATAAATTACCGAAAATTATTATACTATAAACTATTCATAAAACTATCAATTTAAATGAACCTTTTAACGTCTTAAACAGAAACCAGATGATGCTTAATATACATTTCCTTGTTACCAGATGGTAAACATTGATTCTAGATAATCTGCACTGGCTCAATGCTAAGCTATTGAATATAAGATTGCCATATTAAGCTTAGCGGACTAGTTAGCAAGAAAAAGTTTACCGACTTCGAGGCGAAATCTGCAGTGTATCGAAACATATCTCTTCAACTACGAACGTTATAGATGCTTGATCGTCGATACCTTGGGATTATACCACAAACACGATGGGACCACTGATGGAGAAGCTACGTTTGTACACTATGCTTAAATCAGGGCCGAGAAACCAGTGGATGAAGTTGCTACTCTGGTTAGGACAAGATGAGAAGAATATTGGTTACATATTCTGAGTCACAGCCTAACTCGGGGAGAGATAATGTTTGAAATAGAATCAGAATAAAAGAAGCTGTAAACTCTTAAATCATAACAATTTTATGTGGATTTCAATAAATGAGTTGAGCTGTGCATAGAAAGTAGTTTTTCTAGCCACATCTAATAAGAAGAGGTTAAAAACTTGTATGTGAACACCTGAAATCATACTTTATTATGACTAATTCCATGCAGTTCGACTTTTTGAAAGTGGATTCACTCAATTTCACTCCCCTAATTACAAATGATATAAGTTCCAAGACAAAATAAGACAGTTTGTAAACATATCTAAATATTTGTTTACAACGCAAACTGTCTCTATAGTATTATATTAGATGACTGAATGGAATACCATAATCGCGCAACCTATTTGGCTATTTACCATCGGATAGATCGTTGGTTAATACAGTTGTGATACTTGGAACAAAAGACGTAGTAATTTAACAACCAACAGTGAACAAAATACCCATATCCATTTTGTGAAGCCTTTCTTTTGAAGAGAACGAACACATATACAGAATAAGTCCACAAAGATATACTAATTGTTGAGTTGCTACATTTAAAGAATTGATTCCATTGCGTTGAACATGAGGTCATTACAGAACTTCGATAAACCAAACATTCCTTCTGAAAGAAAACTATTTAATCCATGTACAAACTATCTCGTATCTGTGGTCAATGTCCATAAAATTCGAACCTGGGCGTTGGAATCTAATAACACCTTTAGTTACAAGGATTCATATACATAAATGGTGGTGTCATAAAACAAACGCACCTCGATACTCAAAAAGCAATCTCTGTCTTAGATCATTATTCGGCACCAAATCTAATGCAGACTTCCCATGGCAGTTTGGTTGGGTTGGATTTGCACCATATGCCAAAAGTAGAAAACATACTTCTGCACGTGATTTGCTGGCTGCTTCATGTAATGGTGTATACTGCCATAAATCAGCGGCATGTACTTGAGCAGAACCATAACCAGCACTAATTAACAATTCACAAACGTCCAAATGACCATAGGAACAAGCATTATGCAAAGGAATGAGACCACCTTTATCTTTAGCGATAACATCAGCTCCATTTTTTAACAAAATTTTCACAATTTTTGTACTAAAAGATACAGATCAAAAGAAGGGTTTAATCAGGTGTAGTGTGATGATATTCTGTGAAAGCATATTATCATCAAATAGCTAAATGGGATTGATCTTACTGCACTTTATCCAACAAAAGCATATATTTAATTAGAATATATTGAAACAAGCTCTTCTACAAAACGAAACGACTACTCATTCTTGCCCTTATAAAATTGCTATAATATTGAAAAAGCCGGCAAAATATAATGCCGTGAGATAGGAATTTGTAAATCTCGTTAACAATTGTCAAGTTACACTACTTATGGCCTTCAATACATCCTATAATTCCTTGTATAACATTAGTCAAATTGAAATATATTTGGTATTTGATGTGTATGAAATCTGTACGAAAAGTTATTTACCAATAGAGAAAATAAATTATCGGAGATAACAGTGGTTTTTGCGTGAACAGATTTTTGTATAAACGAGCTAGCAATGACTATGAGCAGAGTGGAATTAAGCGAATGAAACTTCCGTTTAATTAAAACTGTACTTTTATCCAATTTTTCGCACTAGTATGATAAACTTTCATTATTAAGGGTTATACAGAACAAAACAATACATGCAACTGATATTACTGAAACAACTACGCGAGAAGCTTAAAATTCAGTGTTTGCTGTTTAGATAGGTAATCCGAAAGGAACACTAGTCTTGCACACGACCATAACAGCCGTAGTAATGTAACCAATCTGAGTCCAGGTATGGGTTGTACAGAGAGGACGTCAGGTTAGCGCTGTCGAGAAACAAGCTAAATTCTGTGCAAAGCTGCACGAGACGATCACCGCTACTTGATCGGCTACCCGAGAGACTCTCTCTGTTTAACACTACAATATCTTCATAGTTGAAATCATCAGTCAATTGAAGCTAGACCACCAAGGAAAACCTGAAAGCACTGGGCGGCCGTTTCGTCCAATTGACTCATGCTTTCAACTATGAAAATACTGAAATCTCCACAAAACCCCTTCTGACTACAATATCTGTCGAATACGCTTTTTCAAGATCATTTAATTGATAGTAGAATAGAGACTTGATTGCATCCTGGCTACGACCTGCCGGCGCTTAGCCGAAGATTACGGAAGGATATCTTTTTCCACACCAGCTTCTCTTCAAATAAACGATTTTTACCGGAAATCTAATTGACTGGTTCCGCCTATGTTCTGGCGCTTAGCCAAACCATTAGTAGGTACAACAGGGACCCCGGATATAAGCATGTGTAAAATGTTTTTCGAATCAACAAATTTGTGACGCTGTCCTTGAGTAACAGTCTTAGAGATACAGCAGACATTGACATCAAGACTTTCCAAAGAGATAGTAAAACCTAGATCTTGTCCGAACTCCATCAATATGCGAGCACTGAAGATCAGTTTAAGTGACACATGCGGTTTCAGAAAAGCTTATTAGAATGCTGTATTTGGTGGTAGCATTTAAAACTCCGACCAGGCAGAAACCTGACATTATTTAAACAGGACAGAACATTCACCAAGGATGAGCCAGTGAGTTGGAAAATAAAGGTAAAAAATAGAAACGAAGAGAAACAGAAAGTGAAAATGAATAAATTTGCAATATTCATTTTGACTATGGCTTGTAAAAGTAGCTAGGTGGAGCGAATAGAACGCTTTCTTCATAATTGTGCTTTATTTTCTACAAGTATTCTCAATCACAAAATGAACTACGGTGATGTTAAAATTAAGAGGAAATAATAGTACACGGTTGTTTTGATTCTCTAATGGAAAATCTGGATCTATGACTTAAAGATGATATTAAAAAGACAGAACAGTGAAATGATAGATTACTTACCGGTTATAACCAGCAGCCAAATGTAATGGTGTAGATTTACGACCATCTCCAGCATGACAGTTTACATTTTGTGGAGTCAACAGACTTATGAGCTTTTCTTCATTCCCACTTCGAGCGGCTTCGAGTAGTTCATCTTTCCTATACTCTCCAAGTAAAGCTAAACGGGCCGAACCCTCAGCCAAATCAACAGGGGTTTTCCCATCTAAATTTCGAGCGTGAGGATTGGCTTTTGCCTAATTTAAGTAGAAAACAATGTACTACTTATTAATCCATCAGCTTATTAACTTGAACAATAAAAAGAGCAGTTTTAATATGTTTAGAGTTAAAGTTCTATGTTGAAAATGGAAGACGCAATTCTGTTTTACATGATTCACAACCGAAAGAGGAAATAATACACATCAGGATCGACAACAAGCTCAAGTGGTTCAATGGTAATCCTATGCTTCACTACAGATACTCTGTAAAGAAGAGGCAATATACAGTATGAAAATACAGTCTTTTTAGAAAAAAAACTACTACACTGAAATATGGAGCTTAAACTGGGTGCTGCAAGTTTGTTTAGCGATTTAGAGTAGATATATAAGTGAATGCTTACTGGTTCGAAAATATTTATCGGATGACTCACATTTGGAAACCTGATATAAATATGTATAGAAACCCAATTTAATAGTATAAACTTTGCAACCTAAATCATTACGTTCATAACTAAGATAATTACACAATACAGTTCTTTCTACGTAACAATGATCAGATTTATACGATAATAATTAAAAAGTGAAATAAATTCATACTTAACTTTGTCACGGTAACAAGAAAAAGAATTATAACCCGATAATCCTCGAAAAAAAGACAACACCAAATGACATACCTGAAGCAACAAAATGCAAACTTCCACTTTTCCTTTTATAGCAGCTTCATGTAGAGGTGTGTAGTTCCAGCAATCCTCAGCATTTGGGTCAGAACCTGCTGATAGTAACAGGTGCACCACATCAACGTGTCCGAATGAGCATGCATTATGCAAGGGAATCAAACCTTAACATACGAAAGAAGTACCGTGAATACTATATATATATATATATATATATATATATATATATATATATATATATATATACATATATACGGAAAAACTGACAATGTGTGGTGTGAAAAATGCGTAGAAAGAAGTTTGTATCCAACAACCACGCGCCTAATATACTACAATCTAATGACCAACACAGAAAAAGATTTCTGACAATATATACCGAATTCATGATCTATTTTGCACCGAAATATACATAGATAAATACATGAGGATGTTATTAATGTCTGGAAATTTAAATACACTAGTGTTTATTTAGAGTTATGTCTCTTCTGTTAGAGGGTTAAGTTTATGGCTTTCAATTTATCGTGAATTTTTCTTGGGACAAACGAATGATAATGAACAACATACATCGTTAAATAAAAAATTTAATCCTAAACAAAATCCTGACAGATCAAGTACTAGAACGGACAAGTTTATAATTGTACAAAAAACAAAATCGAAAAGTTTTCCAATTAAAGTTGTAGATCCAAAGCGATTCGCAGTCTAACGAAATTATTCTTCAGAAACATGGGGATTATTTTAGGCAATGGTATCATCATTATCACTTTTTGAGTGATAAAAATACGTCAATTTCTCCTTTTATTAAACAAAATATGAACATTTTGTACCGCCATGATTCAAATGATGGAACTCAGGGGGAGGGAACTAACCTCCTTCGTCTCTAGCAGAAACATCTGCATTGTGATCTAAGAGAAGACTAACAACGTCTCGACGGCCGTATCCAGCAGCAAAGTGCAGCGGTGTCGACTTGCGACCTGAAGTATCATTGAGGTTAACATTAACTCCATTTTCCAGTAGACATTTTACAAGAGCCAAATCCCCATTGCGACAAGCATCAAATATTTCTTCATCAAACGAAGGGACAGAATTGTCATTTTCTGTGTGGAACGCAGCCACATGAGCATTGAAACTTGTAATTTGTTGTTCACTATCTCCAACCATGGTAGTGCGACGATGTGACAAACTGGAATTCTGACTAGCCATTAGATGTAACTAAGTGGTGGAAATTTGGAAAATAAATATGGAGCCTTGATATTAAAAAGTTATGGGAGTGTAATTTTTGGATCAAAAAATTACTATCAACGGGTTTATCCACAAAATACAGAATCTAATTATTTTTCGGATCAATGATGTCCTAGCATTTGATGAAAAATCTACAGATGGAGAGTAACCATATTCCTGGACCTTGATAAAGGGAAAATATGATGGTAACTAAGTATGGTCAAAAAATTGTGGCACCTTAGGAGCCCTTTTACTGATAAAATAGAAGTGGTCTGAGTTTTGAGTGATCGCTAAACAATGTTCCTATGATCGGCTTTCTGCTATTTTTTGTGAAGACTGAGAAAGGTATCAAAATTCCTAAATAGTAGACAGAAAAGGTTCAAACCTGCAATCTAGAGATTGAAAGTCGTGTCTGACCACTAAACCAAGCTAATATAGCATAAAGGTATATCAACCTAAGATATAATGTAACAGGATTAGCATACATTTTTGTACATATAGCTGAGTAAAGAGACGAGATATTACGACTTCATAAATACTGATGAATAATCGCGAATCTCAACTAATCACTATCCTCAATGACTTCATTTAATATCACCAAGAACTAAAGCCTAGCCTATTAGGCCGATCGTCCGGCTCGAAGTGGGTGTAACAAACATCTATAGTAGCTGAGCATAGGTGAGATCACTTACCAAAAACACTGTAACTCGATGACAATAATTAGGAACGACGAACGACAGTGATGAGAAACAAACGTATAGTTTATCACAGAATTAGTACACTAAATAATTATGAATGATAACGACTACGGTTATATAATTACTTTGAACGGATGAGATATTGGAATGAGGAACATAAGTAACGTTGAAGCGCATTTCTGGGCAGTTTGACGGTAGAATCTCCTACTTAATCAACAGTTTTATTTGACCTTATTTAGAGTGAGAGAATATAGTGTTTCCCTCTTGACTCCAAAAAGATAAGAATACATAAGAACTTATCCAAAGGCGATCCACGAAATTAGTTCGGGTACTCAAACTCAAACCTTATGAAGGGTATATCAAACCACTGAATCCTTATCCATCAGAGTATAGGCGTCCCAGAGGTAACTTTCTAGTAGCTTATAGCATCATAAACACTCTTGAACAAACCCTAAAATGCCTAATTAAGCTCAGTTCCAACACGAACTTTAGGGATAACACCCAGAAATTAGAGACCCAACATAACAGAATGGACTGTAAGTACACCTTTACTTTTTACGAATAATCAAATTCTGGAATTCTCATCCGGCAGAGATAATCCTTAAGAGCTAAGGTCGGTATCTCACTATAATTTGCTAATATTTCCCTCTTTTATCGTCAGATGCGTTTAGGTTCATACTTGATCCACTACTATTTGATATGGAATCCTGTTAGGCAAAAGCTTTCATTCCGTCCAGAACCATCTAAATGAATGATCCGTACCTCAGCAAGCCTTAATCCACAAATAATTATTTGCTTATAAACTCGCTAAGTGAACGTTTGACCTTCATGGGAAGCTCTTTATACTGAAGGAAAATTTACAGACAGATATAGGTAGACTTAATATATGTTGACCGCCTTAGTCGATTGTTGACATCCAACACAAACCTACCCTTTAGCTGCCACGGCTTAATTAACCACCGAAAGTCAAGGTTGATCGGAGAAGGGCACAGGAAGAAACTGCTGTGATATATATATAACTGAATAATAATCTGAACTTTAGATCTCTTTAAATATATGAGTTAAAATATACGACTTTCAGATGGAAGTTTCATTTATGAACATGAACACGACTACGAAACCACGGTAGTCATAATATACATAAATAATTTGTGATGAAACTATCCTAGTTATACTTATACATTCCAATAACTAAACCTTAGCAAACAATAAGCCAAGACTTTACCGCCACAGAGATGTAAGCCGCCTTGATGGGCAAGGTCAAACTCAGAGACTTAATCTAAGTTTCTTGCTTTGAGGTCAGAAAATCAAGGGTCTGTGTCAGTTCTTTTCTGGCATGATTCTATGTGTCTTTAAACTATAAGGCGTTAACAGAGCGCTCAAAACTCTTCAAAGTGCTAGTGTTCAACAGGCGACTTTACAGTTGATTCAAACCTCGAATATTATTGACGGGAATGTGTAGACATTGATCAATTGCTTCTCAAACTGGAGGCCAAAGCAAACTACTTGATGAATATGGAATAAGTGGTTTAGAATGAATATCTAGGCTAATCACCCTTAGTACCTGCAGAACCAAAGTAAAATCTTATAGAAGACTCAGAATAATGTTTCATTTCTCTTGCTTTAAGTCATGAGTTTTGCAAAGCTTGTACTGCTTTTCGCCAGCCCAGATGTGGTTTGAAGAAAGTGAGTGTCCTCCCAAGCGTTTAAGTACTCTTTTGGGACGAAAAGGATTGGGAGAGCCATGATGCATTAATAGCAGGTTCCTCTCAACTCTCCGCAGTATTTTTACGAGTTTATTCTATAAACTGAAAAAATTTTCCTCATCGTTCTGTCAAAGGCCTGATTTAGGTGATGCCTTCACAAATATGAGACTTAGAAATCGGAACGACGGAAAATATAGTCTGTTCTTCTTTCAGTCAATTCCCAAATAAGTTAGTTTTCTTCTATTCGTACTGTTGATTTGGGAGTGCCCTTTTCGATTCTATGTAAGTTTCTTTTAATGAAGTGAGATGGAAACGTCTCCTTGAATACCATTATTTTGTAAACACTTAGTTACCTTATGGCTTAACACAATAAAGACTGGGCCACATAGATACCATTACCTGTTTCTGGACTTGCTGGATTAAAGTCAGGAGATTTGAGTCAACATGTCAAGTAATGTTCAGTGTGATGCATGTTCCTTGAAAAAATACTTCATTTTTTGTCTCATCTTACAGTATAGTCACTAACTTTGTTGTTTGATTCGGATTCAGAATTTTTTATTGATGACAGAAGTCCTTCAGCCTGTGTTACTATATTACCAATGGGTTTTTGATAGGATCTGGTTCTCAAGCTAACGAGTCAATGTCAGAAGCGGATGCCACTTCTTCAGATAATGAATTTCAAGAATTGACTATCTGGTGCGAAAATCTGTATTTCACGGGTATTTTTGCTCGTTCTTGGCTTCTGTACTCTTCTGCTATGTTTTCTAAGTTGTCATGATCTGTTAGTAAGAAAAAGGAGAGGGTATGTGAGGTCTAAAATCATTTCTCAATACCCCATGAATCAAAATCAGATGACCACTTTATCTACAGTGGACAGAATAATGTAGCCCAGTTTCTCAAGTCACTCCGTGCATGATAGACCCTGGAGTATAAAACATTTACTTCCTCACATCGGAATAGATTAATAAGAATCTTTATTTTTTTATTTCTTGTATATCTATTCAATTTTGAACACAAAAGTTTTTTGGTAGAGCATATAACTTTAATTGCAGCCTCAGTTCAAATATATGCATCTTAAATTATTTGTGACAGTAAAATAACTAGGAAGCAAATTAACTTAAGTTTGCCTTACACTTGTAGATGTTAATATAAAATTCTTCTTCCTCTGCCAATGAATATTTCATTTCTCTCTCCGTTCAGGAGTACACAATTGATAACACACTTTGTCGCGTTGCACATTTTTTTCCTATATCTTAAAGAGTTTTCAAGCAGTAATATGCATATGTAGATCATCGATACAGATTACGGGTGTGGATAGTCGCAGTCTACTTAGGTAGAGAGGAATGATGAGACTTCTCAGCTTACGTTGAAGTCGTTTCCAACTCGTATTACCCTGACGCGGAATCCATGGCCTGATTTTACCTCAATGACCGTAAAAAAACAAACAGTACGTCATCAAAGAGACTTTTTGGTGAAAACAGGTTAGAGAAACAAAGTGTGGCCGCTGCTAAATGGGTCAGTCGTCCGCATTCGACTGGTTTTTCCGTGGTAATCACCTTCGACAGTGACAATTTTTAACAAATCGTCTAGCGGTCAGCGATCTATCGTCTAGGCAGAAATGTTTAAGACTGACGGACGAGTTTTCCAGGGCTCAGTGAAGTCCTACCGACTGTAACTATATATTACATCCTATTTTATTCATCCGCATGCAGTTTTAGCGATATTTTGATATCACTCACTAGTGAAAATATCATGTTAGTATGAATTTTAGCGTACATTGAACAATATTTTAGTACATCATATTGTATGATGTCATCCTGTTAGGCATGAAATCAGTGTGCAACAAACATTTATTTTTATTGTTTTTATAGGAAGACTGTAAGATCCAAACCTAAATTTCAATAGGTCTGGATGTGGCCGAATAACCGTTAGATAGCTTTAGACACTCGTGTCTCAGTTCAAATCAAAACAAGGTATATATTTGACACGGTTCTAAACGAATATTATCACCCGGTTATTCAACCAACAATTGATACAAAAATATCCAATCAAAAGCACCGAAAGGTAAACGTTATTCTATCCTTTCTGGATAGATCAAGTGAGATTTCGTTTGAGCGGCTATTTTATAACACCAAGTGTTTCAATTTCTGGGAAGGTGCTCCAAATACAACCAAAAATGCACGATCCCAGTCAAGTTCAAACCGCACAATCAAAAGCGAGCAGCCAATATGGCCGATGCCAGAATAGTAGCAATTAAAACAAACTGTATACAATTCAGTGAGGAACGTAGAGACTCAATAAAAAACGATAGTTAAGTCAAGAAAAATTGAACGTTACAGTCTTAATTAGCATCAAGAATGTTAACAGCATATACAAATAAAGAAAACGTAAGGAAGAAATCACAAGTGTATGCATGGAGGGATTTTCACTTGCAAAATGGATCCAACACCGGCCCCCAAAATCCCTCCATACTGCACAAGCTATTCTGATGTCTTTTTGCCATGGTTCACCTAATCGCATTCCTTACTAAAAGAACGGGTAGGACTTACAACAGTACGCCTACTCGTTCTGTCTACATGTTTGACAATCAACTAATTGGACCCTTCTAGGAGACATACTTTACGTATATCCCTCCTAATAGACCCGTTATTAGTACGTACTGTCACCGTCCTAACTTTTCCGTCTTCGTCTGTTTTACAACTCTCAATTACCCCTAGAGGCCATTTACCGCGGGTGGAAATATCTGAAACCACGATTACTACATCACCTGGTTCGAAATTACGACGCTCAACCAACCATTTTTGACGAGTTTGTAAGGATGGTAAGTACTCCCGCAGCCACCTCTTCCAAAACACGTTAGCTAGATAATTCACCTGTTTCCAGCGTTTATCATAATTAACTCTGATACTACTTTCGTCAACTATACTGTCGCATTCCCTTAACAAAAGCAAACTGTTAGGTGATAATGCTAGCTTGTCGTTAACATCCTGTACCATCGGGGTTAATGGTCGATCGTTCAATATCCTTTCAACTTCAACCAAATAGGTGCCTAAAGTTTCATCATTCAACGTTTGTTCTCTGGTGATCAATAATAATAGTCTACGTACGGATCTTATCATTCTTTCCCACACCCCTCCTCTGTGGCTGGATGACGGAGGGTTAAAATGCCACTGAATCTGCTTCGCTGACAATTCATTACTTATCCTTTGTTGGTCCCACTGCCGCTGTCGCATTAAGTTCACCCAGTTTAGCCAAATCGACATATAAGGCTCGTTGATCGGCTGATCCCAGCCTATTTGGGACTTACATAACCCTTGCAGAAGAAGTTTGACCGTCAGATAGACTGGAGAAATTAAACCCAAAGGGTCGAATACAGAAGATGCCACAGATAGAATACCTCTCCTAGTCAACGGTCTTTCTGGGGCGTCAAAGTGAAACTGGAAAACATCTCTTTCACAATCCCATTGTACCCCCAAGGTACGATGAATGACATCACAATCCTTAGACATTTCTTTCACAAGCCCTTCCTTGAATATCCCAGGCAAAACAGACCTAACTTCTTCCGAATTTGTTATCCATTTCTTTAATGTAAAACCGCCTTTACCCAGTAATTCACTTACTTGCTTAACAAAGCTCTTTGCTCGATCACAAGTGGGAAAAGATACTAAGCAATCATCCACATAGAAATTGTTCCTAACCGCCTCCACGACGTAGCTATCATATCCATCAGAGAATGTCTGAGCGGTCTTGATCAAGGCAAAGTTTGCACAGAATGGCGAAGACGTTGATCCGAATGGATGGGCAGTCATTTGAAATTCCAATGGTTCTTTCGACATGTCTGCCTCCTGCCACCATAGAAATCTTAAAGCTCCCTGATCGGATTCAGGGACCTTTACTTGCATGAACATTTCTTCAACGTCGGCACAAATGGCAATTGCCTCCTTGCGAAATCGCAATAATATACAAACAAGCTCTGCTGTAGTGTCGGGTCCTTGATAAATCATATCATTCAGTGAAACCCCAGCAAATTTAGCAGCACAGTCCAGCACCACCCTCAGTTTTTCTGGCTTTTTGGGATTTATTACCGCGTGATGAGGTAGATACCAGCGAGGGAGATAATCTGACCTCAACTGTATTTCAGGGACCCTTCGCGCATATCCTTTAGTAAGATTACTTTCGATACTTTTAGCATATTTAGTGTGTAGGTTGCTATCCTTCAACAACCTACCCTTCAAACTAAGTAATCTACTGGCCGCTACTTCATAGTTTCCTGTTATTTTGTTTGGATGCATTTTCCATGGTATTGGAACTACGAAGTGACCACCATCGAAGAAGGTACCCCTTTCCACTATTTCTATTGCTGCTCGATCGTCTACTGACGGCGATTTATCGCTTGAATATACATCCGCGAATTCTACGTCATAAAGCTTACGGAATTGATCTTCTATTGTCTGCAGCTTACTCATACAATTACTAACTCTTTTCTTCGATCCCGAAAATGATGCAGGTCCGAATACGGTCCAACCGAGCAACGTTTTTACTGCATACGGATTT